GCGCGGGTCACCGGAAGCGGGGTGGGCCTGGAGCCTCGGTCCTCCAAAGTCCCGGCGAGCCCCGCGCCTGCCTTTCGCCTCCCCTCCCCCCGCGCACGCTGCGTGGCTGCTCGTTGGCTACTTAGGACGGAAGCTCGGTTGGTGTCTCTCCAGAAGTTTCCCCCTTGGGCGGCGGCGGAGCTGGTAACCTCCGTGGTAGCAGCTGCGGCAACAACAACATTGACTGTTAGAGATGGCGGCGGCTGCAGCAGGACCTGCAACATCCCAAAGGTACGTGATTTTTCTTCCTTTTGCTGTTTATTTTTATCCCCTGCCCCCCTTTTCTTCTCAGTGCGCCCTGGTTAAAGTCGTTGTTTCCTTGGCAGGTTTTTCCGGAGCTTCTCAGATGCTCTGATTGACGAGGACCCCCAGGCGGCGTTAGAGGTGAGAGAACCCGTCTCAGCCTCTACTCTCCTTTGGGGAACGCGGCGAACCCCGCCTCTTTCCAGCACATGTCTTCCTGGGACTGGGCCGGCTGATTCTGCAGTGTCTCAGCCCTCATACTGACAGACCCTGCCTCTTCCTTCTCTATTCCATAGTGACCCCGTTACCCTAGACCCCGGTTCCTGCCCCTCCTATGCCTAGGCTGTTTCTGCATCCTCGCAGCTCTTTAGAAAAACGTTATCTGTTTCCGTAGTTGACATCCTTAGTTCGCCGGGAAGGATATTTTTTTAAAATGACATATGACTAGAAGAAGTGAAGTCTAGGCTTAATGGTATTTAATTCGATTTTTCGTTTGACAATCACCCTTCCCATTCTTATGTACCAGGCGATGTGCAAGGTGTATATGAACTCGGACTACCATAACAAGCACCTTTTCCACTATGTCCCTGAAAATTTCCAGATGTCCCGTCACTGTTCATTATTGACTTGTTTATTCACCAAAACAATATTTTTGGAGTTGATGTGTGCAGGGAACCAATTGCTGTTGATTAAAGTCTTACTTATGTATTTAACTGACTTACAAAGCACTTTGTGTTTGTGTGACGTGAAAGACTATGAAGCTGTAAAAGAAAGTAAAAGGGCAAGAGTTAAATAATACAAAGGAATAAAGACAGCCCAAGCTAAGGATACATGATGCAGTAGGTCCCAATATTTAGCCCAGGGGTTTCTTGCTTTGAAACACTAGGAAAAGAAACCAAACCCTGTTCTGTTGTTATAATCTAACATACCTAACATTAGCAATTTGAGGCAAGAGAACCTTTTTCCTACTTAGGATTTCTAGGAATAATACGCCACATGGTAGTAGAGCCTCTCTGAGGAGGTGACATTTGAGCAGAGACCTGAGGGAATGAGCTTGGGAGCTCTGGAGAAAGCATTCCAGGCAGTGCCGAAATCCTGATGTAGGAATGAGGCTGGCCTGTACAAGGAGCAGCAAAAAGGCCCATTAGACTAGAGAAGGGTGAAAAGAGTATGAGATGAAGTGGGGAAGAAACCCAGGCTAGGTCCCTTAGTGCCTCTTAGGCCAGAATATGTTCTTTGGATCTGAATGTGAAGGCCTTCAAATAAAGTGATTGATTAATCAGTTGTACTATAATGTTTCCTAATGAGGCCTCTGGGATCAGTAGTAGAATAATGTTACAGGAGGCACTAAGAATTTTTCTCCACAATTCCTTATGTCAGCTAGATAGCTATTTTCAGAATTTACATTTGTTATGGTCCTCTTAGACTTCAAGCCTCCTTTGGAAATCAATTTATATAAAAGTTGCTTTTAAAGGATATTGATGTCACTTTTCATCTCACTTATTTTACTTTTTAATTTTTATTGAAGTATGACATAATAGATAACACAAATCTGAAGTCTGCAACTAATGAAGTTGTTTTACATATGTGTATATCATGCAGATTAACATATAGAACACTTTCATCCTCAAGGCTCTCTCATGCTTCTTCCCAAACAATAATTCCCCTTTCCCATATGACAACCCTTATTGGGTCATCACCATCAGTTAGTTTTGCTTGGTCTTGCACTTCACATAAACAGAATTACAGTCTAGGTGCTAAGTTGAGTGTAGGCACTCTGTCTTGCTTTAAACATTTGTGAGATACATTCATATTGTTGTAGTATGAATCCTTTTCATTGCTGTGTACTATTTTATTGTACAGTAGTAGCACAATTTATTCTAACAGTGGAATAAAGAATGAGAAGGAGACTGCTTGTGTCCAAATCATGGTTTCATGATACCTTTGTAACCTTATAAAAGTTCCTGTTATCACGCTGGATTAGAATTCCTGTCTCTGAATAAGAACTTGAAAGGGCTTTGATGAACATAAGTAATGTAAGGTACATGTTGAGGTCCTTGAGGTAGATATTTTGTAGTTTCTATGCTCTCTGTGTTCTAACCACACTGGCTTTCTTTCTGTTTGTCATGTTCAATCCTGTTGAGCAGCCTTCCGACTTGCATTGTGGTTTCTTTTGCCTGAAATATACTCAGACTTTCTTGACCTATCTGATGTTCTGCTTGGGAATGCTCATTACCTTAGATTTCAGCTGAAATGTCGCCTTCTCAGAGAAGATGTCTTCTCTAACCACCCTATATTTAATTTGGGTCCTAATGTAAGCATTAAGAGAGCAGAAATTTTCCCTGGTCAGGTAGCTCATTTTGTTAGTTCATATCAGTGTTTCCCAATGCTCCAAGGTTGTGGTTTCGATCCCCAGTCAGGGCACATACAAGAATCAACCAATGAATGCAATATTCATATATTTTTTTTTTTTTTTTCAGAGAAAGTGGAAAGGGGGGGGGATGGATGTGAAAGAGACACATCAATTGGTTGCCTCCTGCACTTGCCCCAGTCAGGGCCAGTGATCGAGCCTGCAACCAAGGTACGTGCCCTTGGCCACAATCAAACCCGGGACCCTTCAATCCATAGGCCTACGCTCTAACTACTGAGCCAAACTGGCCAAGGAAGACAAAATCAATATTTCTCTCTCTCTGTCTCTTAAAAAAAAAATCAATAATAATAAATAAAAAAAAAGAGCAGGAATTTTGTGTATATTTTTTGCTACCACTGTGTTCTTAGTGTAGTGCCTGGAAGGTGGTAGGCACACAAATGTGTTAAATGATTCTTACTATAATTCTTGCAACAACTGAGGTGGAGATTTGCATTTTCTAACAAGGAAGCTGAAGCTAAAGAGATTTAACTTGCTCAAGGTTATACAGTTCAGAAGTGATATGTCTCTGGGTTCAGTTCATTAGGGTCATCTTCTGGAGGAGGGGGTAAAATTGGGGTGTATGATATAATTAAAGGTTTGATAGCTGACTTCAAAGTAGCTGACCATGGGTAACTTTGTTGAGAGCATAGCTGGTTAGCATAAATGTGCATTTGTTCCAGTACTTCGTGGTTATGTGTTTTTTCTCCATGGTAGTTTAGGAAGGGAGAAGGATTGATATTATTTATCACCCATGATTGGGGATTAGCTGTGGCTGGAAGAAAACAGAAAATGGAATCAAATTGTGATACTCAGAACTAAAGGCCTTCAGACTTTTTCAATCAGTCTTCCTTGGCCAGTTTGGCTCAGTAGTTAGAGCGTAGGCCTATGGATTGAAGGGTCCCGGGTTTGATTGTGGCCAAGGGCACGTACCTTGGTTGCAGGCTCGATCACTGGCCCTGACTGGGGCAAGTGCAGGAGGCAACCAATTGATGTGTCTCTTTCACATCCATCCCCCCCCCTTTCCACTTTCTCTGAAAAAAAAAAAAAAAAACTTGCAGTCAGTCTGGGCAAGACTGCTTTTGCTTTTAACCGTAACAACCGTTTACCTGTTGAGTAGCATTTTATTTTATTTTTTAAAATTCAACTTATTGGGTGACATTGCATTTTAAAAGAGCTCAAAACGTTAAAGATTTGGAAATTTGTTTCTAAGAGATCCAAGTCTTAAACAATCTTACTGCCTTTTTAAAAAGGAGATTTTCCTCTATTCTGAGCTACCAGGTATTTCCTTCACCATTATCTTAGTAAAGAGTTCAGCATTATTTCATTTTAAAGTTCACCATGTTTTTTATTTTTGAGAACTATAAATTGCTTGACTCTAGCATCTCGTTTTATATGAATAAGTACATCTCTGGACATGTTTACAATATGTTTCACATTGATCTCCATTAAATAATAGCTTTTTGCCACTGTGATTCACATGTTGGCACTGAAGTTTTCTGCCTTTTGAGATCCCTCCCTTTAGTCCCTTTGTACTCTAGCAGCCAGCAAACTGTTGTTACAGAAACAGTAGAACTCTGGAAACATGCCACAAGTCAGATATAAATACAACTGCAACTCATTATTTTATCTTCATTTTTGGTTTTATTTATATTATTCAAAATAAACTGATTATTATGCTTTATTCATAACTTTACAAGTTTATGTATCATAAAGTTCAGTTTGTGCACAGTTTTTCAGTAACGTTTAGTAACAGCCCAGTAAGTCAATTGTTTTAACTGAGTCACTATAAATTATCCTTCTTGACCAATAGTTGGTATGTATATTTAAAGGTTATTTCCAAGTTAGTTGTTTGAAATTCGTAAGTTTTTACCTGACCTTTTTAAGAAAAGGAATGCTATTTATCTTTGTATCTGTAGTGTCTGGTCTATCTTTGTTACATAATATATGTTTAAAAATAGTTTTTGAATTGATGATAGATATTAATATAATCTGTAACAGCCTTTGGGACCCATGGTGTATCTGTTTTGCTGAGGAGAGGCTAGAAATTTCCTTTGCAGATATGTTTGAGTAGATAGGTAAGAAGCTATCAGCTGTTTTCAAAATTGAAAGTTTAGTGCAAGATGGTATTATTTAACTTAGGAATTTCAAAGTATTAAAAAACATAATACAAATGTCAGATGGTATGTGAAAAAAACTTGGAGTAAAGAAACGTTACCAAGAGGCAGTGCTCTTTAGTGATTAAAGTCCAATTTGGAATCAGACTTAGATTTGAATCCTGTCTCTGGCACAGTCTTGTCACTAACTAGGAAGTGAGGGAATGAATCTGTGCACATCTGGGGGAAGAGCATTCTAATGAGAGGCAGCAGCAGGTGCAGAGTCCTGCTGGTGAAGATCAAGGAGGCCATTGGGCTAGAATGGAGGAGCAAGCGGAGTAGTAGTAAGAGGTGACAGCCAAGAGAGCAGAGAGTCATGTCAAGAATGGTCTTTTAGGTCATTGGAAGGGGTTGGGCTTTTGCTCTGGGTTGGCTGGAAAGACATTGGAGAGTTTTGACCAGAGACATAGTAGCAAGCTCTCGTATTTGTTACTGCTTGGATCAGGGCAATTAGGACGAAAATGGTAAAAAGTGGTTTGGACTTTAGGTATGCTGGATTTTAGGGATATGATTACCAAGAATGGTATTCATTGCTTTGTGAGAATCATACACTGTTAGGTTAGAACAAAGCCAGTGTGTAGCTATTGAAGTAGTTTAACTTTTAAGACGACTACCAAATCCCTAGGATGTGTGAGTACTGGGTAGAGAATCATATTGTTCCTATTTGCCTTCATTTGTCCTTGGCCTCACTAATCATGCTGTCTTTTCCATCATCATTGTTCCAGCTACTACTTATATACCATGAATGCTCAGGGTCGCAAAAATTTTAATCTCTCTGATATTAACTCTGGATCACTTGATAGTATGAGGTTATTATATCTGGGGTTTCGACTGAATGCTGTAATTTCTTAGGGTTGTTTGCCATTGGCAGAGGGTAGGAGAGGTCCAGCTAAACTTGATTGTGTATTTATTGATTCTGTTAACATTCCTGAACTCTAGGTTCAACTTCCAGTGTTTTTTTCTTTTAATCCTCACCCGAGGATATGTTTTTATTGATTTGAGAGAGAGAGAGGAAGGCAGGGGAGAGAGAGAAATATTGATGTGAGAGAAATATCAATCGGTTGCCTCCCATACACACCCCAGCCAGGGATTGAACCCTTTTGCTGTATGGGATGGTGCTTCAACCAACTGAGCCACCTGACCAGGGCCCTTTTTTATTTTATTATTATTTTACTTATTATTATTTTATTATTTTATTAGACAGCTTCATATTTTCTAGGCATCTCAAATTCTGTATAATCTTTGAGTCTCCTCCATATTAGAAGGAGAAAAATCTATGATGGTCAATGTATATTAACTAAACTCTTCAGAATAAATGAGGTCATAATTACCATTTATTGAGTTCCTATTGTAGGCCAGGAACTGCTAAGTGCTGTATATAGATATTACTTTAGATAGTGGGCTTTTGTGGGGAGAGGGGAGGAGAAGGGGAGATATTGATCATCTTGCAAAGAAAAGCTCCTAGCTTGTTTCAGTGTTATCTTCGCTCCAAATATCTTATGACAATAGTTTTATTTGATTAAAAATCATGTTTAATTTGAATTCAATGACTTTTCAAAAACAGATACTTATACTTAACATGCTTGTATTTGTAGGAGCTGACTAAGGCTTTGGAACAGAAACCAGACGATGCACAATATTGTCAAAGAGCTTATTGTCACATCCTTCTTGGGAATTACTGTGGTAACTTTTCTTACAAAATATATTGTCTCTTCTTTAAGTGTTACTTACAGATTTGGCCCAAGATACAATGAGTCAAATAAAATAGAGATTATCTTTGAGGATTTTAAAATTGGTCTTTCACACAAAGTGAAGTAGCTGAAATATCACAAACGTCGTTGAACAACACCCATTTAAATTTAATGGATGTCCTTCCTTCAGCAGGTGGAGAATTTATACAGAATTCATTTGTGGTTATTGGATATGCTAACAGAATAGCATATTTATTGTTTTACAGAGTAAATTCACATTTTTTATAAGGAATATATTTCTTTATTATTTATATAACTTTAGTTATTCTGGATAGAAAATGTGGGTAGGGGAAAATTAAATATCTTGAGTCAAATTGCATAAATGATGTTAATGAGAAAATTAGGTAAACTTTGTGACGCAGAGCTTTATTTACTGTCTGAAGCGCTTTAAAAAGGAAGTTAAATACTAGGCTAATAAGATCTGAGGGTAATAGTTACTAAATTATATCTTGGTGTAGCTTTTCCTAATTTAAAAGTTACTTGTCCATTTTACCAACTTAAAAACCAAAAACTGATTCAAATTTTATGTGTAATATTTGTTAGAATCTATAAAAAGCCTTTTTTTTTTTTTTTTATAGATGCTATTGCTGATGCGAAGAAATCTCTTGAACTTAATCCAAATAATCCCACTGCTATGCTGAGAAAAGGGTATGCAATAACTATTCTTCTGGGTCTGGATGATAAATAGGTGTTTAGTTTGTTGAACGAATTAATGGTAAGCTTTATATAAATAGTAAATTCTGTATTCATACATTCTAGAGCTGAGATAGGATTTAATTTAGATATAATTTATGCTTCTCTTATATTAACTGCAGCAGGTGATAGGAGATGTATAGTTAGTATATTTTAAAATTGTGATGATTGAAGTATCTGCAAGGTGTAGATGAAACTGTTCATTATTTGAAATTTTCTGTCTTTGACTAGAGAACATTTATTCCTCAACCAAGCTGGACAGACTACTTCTAATGCTATGAAAATTCTGTATCTGTATTTTGTATCCCAGATTGCTTCTGTTGATGTGTGACTTTAAGAAATTTAACTCCTTACTATGACTATATTTTGGACTAAGCAATTGTATACAATTAAAATCAAGAAATTCCTTCTGAAATTGATTGCAAAGTTGGATATTAATGGGAATTATACTAGATGTTACATAGAGTATTTTAGAAAAATCTCTTGACTTCTTATTATACACTTGAATTCTTTTGACAATAGAGAATACTAAGATATTTTTTAGGAAGACTGTTTTTCATAATCTTGTGTGTGTGGTATTTATTTTTAATATGTTCATACAGGATATGTGAATACCATAAAAAAAACTATACTGCTGCTCTAGAAACATTTACAGAAGGACAGAAATTAGATAGTAAGTATTGGAATTATATGTTAATAAATTAATTCATTATTTCTCTTGTGTCTTAAATACCATTGCTGAATTTTGTTTGTGTAATCTCAAGTTAATTATAGAAACCCAACACCATTTTTTTCTCCTTTTAATGGTATTGATTAAATTGGCCTTCCTTTAGCATTTAAATTGCAGGTAAACTTTACCATTAGAAGCTAAAAACTATATATAAACACTCAGTGTGCTCCTTGTACTTAGTCTGGTTTTATTTTTTCCTAATAGAAAAATGAAAGTTTAATTTGCCCTGGTGTTCAGAAGTCTATTTATTTTAAATTTTATTCAGATTGCTGATATGGGAAATCTTACAATGAAGATTTTTATTGGGGAGTGAGGTGTTAGTTTAGGTAAATTTGATAGGGCACAGGAGAAACATGGAGCTTTGAGAGTATTGTGAGTTTTTCATGTCTTTTTTAAAAAAATGTATTGGTTTTCTTAGAGGAAGGGAGAGAGGGAGAATAAGATGCGAGAACAGAACATTGGTGGGCTGCCTCCTGCATTCCCCCTACTGGAGATCGAGTTGCAACCTGGGCATGTGCCCTGATGGGAATCAAACCAGCAACCTTTTGGTGCACAGGATGATGCCCAACCAACTGAGTCACACCAGCCAGGGCTAATGTTGTCTTGAGAGAAATACAGGTTTTTCCCTGCCATCTGAAAATAGAGCCATCCCTGTGAAACCTTTCATAAGTCAAAATGATGTAAAGTGAAGAAGTAATTATCATTGATGTATATGCAAAAAATTTCATGTATTCCCAGACCCCAACTAACCTACCAAATCATACCAAATAACACATGAAACCTAAAATAACACTAACAGGTAGTAAAAGAAGGAATGCTATGATAAATACATAGCCAGTGTAAAGTAGAAATAATGTTTGTATTGTGTAGTTTCACTTATTAAAAAGACGATTGATTTCTCCTGAAGTATATAACAGAACACCACACTTTTTGTACACCTATCACTCAAGCATTATATTTTTCATTTTATCTATTACTGGTGCCAGCTATAAAAGACAGTTTTGTTATTAGCAGAACCAGTAGTCACTTTGGCAGCTTTCAAGTTTCTTTCTCTCCATGTAAATAGTATGAATGGTGGATGCAGGCAGGTTGAACATACGCAGAATGTCTTTATTTCATTCATCACAATCAGCATCCTTAATTACGTCCAGTTTTACGCTAAGTGCATAAACACCCTTACAAGCTCTCTTATGGTTTTCTAATACTTAAGATACATCTAGCTAACAGATACACAGAATAAATAGAGATAAAACACAGATGCTCACAGACACAGTTCAAAGCCATGGCAGGTTGATGCTGAGATGTTGATTGTAATACCTGGGGAAGGTGCTTGGTGGGGGGCACTATGTCTGCTCAGGATGCACACTATCTCTATAATGGCTCATGCAAAACAAACACTGAATGCTCTTTACTGAACTCTTACACAAAAAGCGAAAATCCTATTTGGATTTTCTTTTTAGTTAGTGAAAACAAGTAGTAATGTAAGGTCTTCTGTAAAAGTGAAGTAGTGTGCTGTGAATTTTCGAAAAGCAAGGGGTACCTATATATGAAAATTATCACAGCAGTATGGATATCTGCACACATATATAGAAGTAATAAGAGCCAAGAATCAAAAATCTGCAAAAGACTAAAAGACAGTGGTTGTAAGTAATCTCATAGATAATCGTAGACTACATAACCTTAATTGTATAGTATCATTTAATCTTCATCTTATGATAGAGTATTAGCACAATTCTCTAAAGCAGTGGTTCCTAACTTGCTGATTTGATTTTGCTCCCTGGGGAACATTTGGCAGTGTCCGAAGAGATTTTTATCATGACTGGTGGATGGGGAATGTGCTATTTACATCAAGTGAGTAGGGATCAGGGATGCTGCTAAATATCCTGCAATGCACAGGGAAGTCCCCCAAAACAAAGAAGTATCTTGTCCAAACTATTAGTAGTGCTGAGCTTGAGAAACCCTGCTCTAAAGTATTGTATGATTCTATTTTTAAAAATGTACTCTGTACTGCTTTGAGTATTTGCTTTTCTGCTGTATACCTACTCTAGAAAGGGCATTAGGCCCAACTTTTGCAAATGGAACTTAAAAATTAGGAAAAGAGAGATCTAGGCAATAGGAGTTATTCTTAAATTTGGTTATCCCAAGTGTGGTATGTGAATAATATGGCTGGCTACTCAATTAGGAAGTGAGCGTATTGACACTCAGCATATTCTAAAGAGTACAGTTCAGTTATCTAGTGCCTTGATACATGTTTGAAAACCCTGAAGAGACACGAGTCATTCTATCTTCTAGATTTCTAAGTCTTATTTCTTACCTTTTTAGAGCAACAGAAAGTTCTCTGTCTAAATTCCTTCTTTCAGATATCTTGCTATGCTTTGATGATCTTAGAATTATTTCAGAGGTGGCCTCAGAAGAAGATGTCTGCTGTTTGATAAAATTGCTGTTGAGGATATTTAATTTGAAAACAAATTAGTCTTTAAGTTAAATTCCAGGAAAAAATTATGTTAAAGTATTAGGCTTCTGTTACTATAAGAGAGGGTAAAAAATTTGTAATTCACAGTATTAACTTTCTCCCCGCTTTATATGGTAGGAAGCTTGGCCTATTTACTGACTAATTTGAATAATAGGTTATTTAAATCTAGGATTTTGATATACTGTAATTATTCCCCACTAGAGAGAGAGAGAGAGTGTGTGTGTGTGTGCGTGTGTGTTAAGGCCTTTATAGTTGAGCTTCACTTATAAATTATGGAATTATAAAAATTAGAGATTATTAGAAAATTCTATTGTAAGAAATTTTTAATTGCTTTTTCAGAATTATCTTGTCTGCAGTTAGCTTGAATTAGTAAACTTTTATTTAAGAGTACTTTAATAATTTTTCTTAACATTATATTTTATTAGATTCTGTAACTATCTGGATGTTGTCATTGTTCTGAACCTTCAGAAGTGAATAATTTATGTACATGTTCACATTGCTATCTATAAATATAGTTCAACTATATGTATAGTTCTTGGCTACCATGGAACTTGGAATTATTACAGCACTTCACAAAGGATAAAGATGCTTCTTGGTGTTGGTAGGAAAGGCATGGTAAGAAGTAGAACCACTGAGAGAATAGTAGACAGAATAGGTAGGTAGCTGCATGGAGAGCAGACTGGGGTTGAGAGAGGCTTATAGACCTCAATCCAGTTGCTGGTTACCAAGCCTCCACCCCATCCTAACAGATGGCATATTGGGAATCTCCTTTGGGCCTGATTTTGTTTTGTGAGAGAGGAAGAATCTCCTTTAAGATAAGAGGGATGTAGGTTATCTATATCTGAGAACCAGTAAGGTTGACTGGTTAAAATTAATTTTTTTATAAATTAAAATTAATTTTTTAAATTAAAATTCTTCAGGATGAACAACTAAATATTAAGCCTATTGGTATATTTATAGCTATAACATTAGGGTTGCTGCAAGTTCTGTTAGGACAGGTATTTTTGTCTGTTTAATTCATTGCTGAATCCTAAGTGCCTAGAACACTGTTTGGGATATAGTAGGTATTCAATACGTATTGGTTGAATAATATGTTAGATTGTGCAGATGAGTTATTTTACAATCAGTTTGCTCTTTGTAGGTGCGGATGCTGATTTTATTGTCTGGATTAAAAGGTGTCAAGAAGCTCAGGATGGTAAGTATGTAGATTTCTCATGGTCTTTCAATTTAAAAAGAAGTAAACATTTGACATTTTTTTATTTAAACAAATTTGTTTTTTACTTTATAACTTGTAAATAGTGCATGTTCCCTTAGATAAGAATTTCTAAAGGAATTATTTAAAATTTTTTTTATAACAGCTTTATTGAAATAGAATTCATATACCATGCAACTCATCCACTTAAAGTGTAAAATTAAATAGTTTTTATTATATTCACCGAATTGTGCAACCATCAAAAAAAAAATTGTGCAACCATCACCGTAATCAATTTTAGGACACTTTAGTACCTTCAGAAGAAACCTCACAACTTTTAGCACTCCTCCTTCTCCATTGCCTCCCAGCCCCCACACCCCCCAGCCTTAAGCAGCCAGTAATCCACTTTCTGTCTCTATGGATTTGCCAATTGTGGACATTTCATATAAATGGAATCATACATTATATAGTCTTTTGTGACTGGCTTCTTCCACTTAGCATAATGTTTTCAAGGTTCAGGTTTCAGTGACTGCCTGACCTACCCCAGTGTTCAACTTAAAAAATAGATGTAACCTGTAAAGTGCCAGACCCTTCTCCTTGGTGATGGGTTGCATCCTCCTGGAGGTGTCCTGCATCCCCACAAAGTGGGCCCTGTTTCTATGAGCAGCTCCTACCCTTGCTCTTCTTATTCCCTTCAGTATTTCCCTGACAATGCCCAGGTCTCTTGATGCCTACTCTCCCAAGGAGTCTGAGAAGCTGGTTTTTATTAAAGTTTTTTTTTTTTAATTTAAAAAATTTTCCATTGCAATAGACATACATTATTATAGTAGCTTTAAGTGTACACCCTGGTGATTAGAAATTTCATAACTTGCTAGTGAGCATCCCAATAAATCTTGCATCCATCTGATACCATACATGGTTATTAGAATATTATTGACTGTATTCAGTAGGCTCTACTTTACATCACTGTGACTCTTTTGTAACAATCAGTTTGTACTTTTTAATCACTTCACCTTTTTCACCCATCCGCCCAATACCTCCCACCCTCCTAATCTGGCATCCACCAAAATGTTTTCTGTATCTGAGTCTGTTTCTGTTCTGCTTGTTTGTTTATTTTGTTGTTAGATTGAATTGTCAATAGGTACATATTTATTGCCATTTTATTGTTCATGTTTTGATCTCTGTTTTTCTTCTTTTTCTTTAAGAAGACCCTTTAACATTTCATGTTATACTGGTTTTGTGGTGATGGACTCCTTTAGCTTTTTCTTATCTGTGAAGGTCTTTGTCTGTCCTTCAATTCTAAATGATAGTTTTGCTGGGTACAGTAATCTTGGTTGTAGGTTCTTGTTTTTCATCACTTTGAATATTTTGTGACAATCCCTTCTGACCTGCAAAGTTTCTGTTGAGAAATCAGCTGACAGTTTAATGGGAGCTCCCTTGTAGGACTGTAACTAACTGTCTTTGTCTTTAACTTTTTGCATTTTAATTTTGATATGTCTTGGTGTTGGCCTCTTTGGGTTCATCTTGCCTGGGACTCTGTGCTTCCTGGACTTATATGTCTATTTCCTTCACCAGGTTAGGGAAGTTTTCCATCATTTTTTCAAGTAGGTTTTCAGTTTTTTGCTGTCTCTCTTCTTCTGGCACCCCATGATTCGAATGTTGGTACTCTTGAAGTTGTCCCAGAGACTCCTTACGGTATCCTCACTTTCTAAAATTCCTTTTTCCTTATGCTGTTCTGATTTGATGTTTCCTGCTTCCTTATCTTCCACATCTCTGATTTGGTCCTCTGCGTCATCTACTCCACTGTTGATTCCTGTAATGTAGTTTTCATTTCTGACTTTTTTCCCCCAATCCTCACCTGAAGATATTTTTTCCATTGCTTTTCAGAGAGAGTGGAAGGGAGAAAGAAAGAAACACTGATGTAAGAGAGATACATCAATTGGTTGCCTCCCACACGTTCCCTGACCAGGTCTGGGGATCGAGCCTGCAGCTGAGGTACGTGCCCTTGGCTGGAATTGAACCCAGTCCACAGGCCGATGCTCTTAACCACTGAGCCAAACCCGCTAGGGCTCTGGCTGTGTTTTTTTTTAATGTTTTCTATCTCGACTCTTATGTTTCCTATCTCTTCTTTGAGGTTCTCATTAAGTTCATCTCTTCTTCCCCTAAGTTCACTGAGCATCCTTATAACCAGTGTTTTGAACTCTCTGTCTAGTGGATTGCTTGCTCCATTTTGTTTAGTCCTTTTTCTGGAGTTTTGCTCTGTTCTTTCATTTGGGACATATTTGTCTCCTCATTTGGCAGCCTTCCTGTGTTTGTTTCCATCTATTAGGTAGAGCTACTGTGTCTCCTGTGCTTGGTAGAGTGGCCTAATGTAGTAGGTGTTCTGTAGGGTCCAGCAGCACAGCCTCCCTGATCACCCAAGCTGGACACTTGAGGTGCACAACCTATGTGGGCTTTGTACACCTTCCTCTTGTAGTTGAGCTTGATTGCTGTTGGCACATCAGTGGGGGGGGGGAGGGATTTACCCCCTGGCCAGTCAGCTGCAAGGACTGGCTGAGACCACCAACCACGGACCTCTGACCACCATGGAGGATCAGTTATGCATGGGCCCACCCTACAGAGCAGGACTTACTTCAGTGGGGCTCTGGTGCCCACTGAATCTGACCCTTGTGTGTGTTGCTTCTGCAGGTGGTTGGGTAATGGTGCTCCTATGTTGTCTGAAGCTGTCCACTGGGTGCATTGTCTTTGGGGCCTCCCAGGAGGTGCAGGCCAAGGTTAGCCACCACCTGTGTTCTGCCTGGGGTCACCTGGCATGAGCTACAAAGTGATATAGTTTGGCTGCTACTTGTGCTGGGCTTGGAAGTGCCCAGGTGAGGTCAAGCTGTGAACCAAGCCTGGCTACTGATAGTTCTGGGCCTGGGGCCACTTAGCGAGAGGTACGGAGCTTACTGAGGCAAGATACTGCTTGTTTGAGAGATTTTAGGAAAATATGAAACGTGAACCAAGACACACCAGTTATGTGGAAACAGCTGGGGTGGGCCTGAAAGTTGGGTGGGACAGGGCCTTAGACAATTATCAGGGTGGGGCAACCATTGAGAGCCAGGTTGATGGTGTCTCAGTTTTGGCTCCTGCCTGCAAGATATGTGGGGGAAGAACTTATCAAAGGAAAATGGCTCCTGCCAACACTTCTGTCTGGAAGAAAGCTGCTCTCCCCACCCCCCATCTTTCCTTGATGTCAGGCAGTTCAGTTCCTTCCCATATGTCTCTGGTTCCTTTCAAGCTGCTGCCCCAGCCCTGGAGCTCAGAGGGAGTGAGTCTGAGTAAGCCCTTGCACAGGCCCTTTAAGAGGAATTGCTTGGAATTTTAGCAGCCCTCCATGCTCATTTCATGCTCTTAGCCTTAATCCCTGCTCATTTTTACAGCCAGAAGTTATGGGAACTTATTTTCCTGGCACTGGAACCCGGGGCTGGGGGACCTGGTGTGGGCCTGTGCAACCCCTTACTCTCCAGGGGTGTCTTGTGCAGCTGAGATATCCCTCCCTATTTTTAGCTGCCACACATAGTTGTGGGACCTGTTTCCCGTGTCCATCCTTCCTACCAGTCTTGATGCGGCCCCTTCTTTAATTTCCTAGTTGTAGGACTTTCATTCAGCCAGATTTCAGGTGGTTAAGAATGATGGTGGTTCTGTAGTTTAGTTTTAATTTTGATGTGGTTGTGGGAGGAGGCGAGTACTGCATTTACCCACACTGCCATCTTGACGAGAAGTCTTCCAAAGGCAGTCTTCGTTTGTTTAGTTGAAAGGGAGTTGTAGATGAATTTTTTTGGCAGTGGTATCACTGGTAAGTAATTACTAAGGAGTCTAAAGTGGCTCCAGGTTGCAAAATTAAACCACTTTTCTTTATTTGGAATGTATGGAGAATTGGTTTGCTTAATCAGTATGTATATGCCATAGAAGTCATGTATGCAACTTTGCTGATAAATGTACTGTTATCTGAAAATGTTTCTTTTTTATGTTTTTTAATAGAGTCACAATCAAAGGTGGTAAGTTCAAAGATTTTATCTTTCATGTCTTTACTTAATTATATTATTATGGTGCATATTTGAGACAGGACTCAGAATGATCTTTCTCTCAGTTAAATATTAAGCAATACCATTTAAATACTTGTTCAGTTCATTTAGTAACTGAAATCACATTGGTGAAATAGGTATAGAAGGTTTTTTTTAAAAAAATACGTTTTATTTATTTTAGGGATAGAGGAAGGGGGAGAGAGAAAGAGACAGACATCAAAGAGGGAGAAACATCAATTGGCTGCCTCCTGCATCCCCCCTACTGGGTATCGAGCCTGCAACCCCGGGCATGTACCCCGACTGGGAATTGAACTGGTGATCTCTAGGTGCATGGGATGACACTCAACCAATTGAGCCACACAGGCCAGGGCAGTATAGAAGTTTATAGTCATGAAAATTATTGGGCTCTTTTAATGCATTTAGTGTAGTTCTTTGGTCAGGATGGTTATTTGTTCTCTGCTGACAAGCATCACATTTCGGTTAAATAATTTCTGCCTTGGAAGTACTTGCAAGGCTTATTATGGTATGCTAAAACACAAAGATTAAAATTTGGAAATGTTTATCTTTGTCTCAGTTTTGTTTTGGACATGAAAATTTTGAAGTTTCTTCAGTTATTAAAAGTTTTGATGAAGTTCAATTTTTGTTTTAAGCTTAGGTTTATGTATAACACACATAGTTTAATTATGGCTAATGGTTTTTAGGAGTGATCATCTACATATTTTGTCAAGAAATAAAATGACAGGGAGTCAGGAGATATGCATGTAGTCCTAACTCTTCATGGGCAATTACTTAACCTTTTTGAATCTTTTTTTCATCTCTAAAGGAAGATTTACATTTCTGTCTTCTAGAATTACATTGTGACATTGAGAAAGTAACTTATCCTGTGAGTTTTCTTCATGTATATACTGGTCCTAATAGAGCTAATCTACCTCAGGCAGGCTGTTGTGAGCATCAGACCAGTTATGTGCATATGTAGTGACTAGGGTTTTGAGTATCACCGAAAATGAGCGTTATCTGGCTATCCCTTTACCTGTAGGCTTGTTTATATTCCTAGGGGTGATGAGTAGGGAATGGATTGAAGGTGTTTAAAAGTTGGCTTCCATGTTAGTATTTTTTGTCTAGGTCTTAACAATATTTGTAATTGGGATTAGGCCTGAAAGCAACACAGTGGAATTTGAATAACAAAGACTATCTAGGAACACAAACATCTGTTTAGCCACAGTGCACGTTATCACTGCTATAGTTCATTCTAGTTTTTATCTTGGTACCAAGATGAATCTGTTCTAATTAGTATCTCTACTTGATATCATCTAGATTCAGGTGTTTCTCAACAGTTAACACTGGAGAGTAAATCTGAGTTAGATTCAGCTCTCTCTAGTGGTTTTCCTTTCTTCCTCCAAACCCCAACTCCTCCCTTTTTATTTAGGAACAACTTAGAGGCCACCTATAATCCAGGACAAGCTCTTTAGATTTTACATAGCCTTAACTGGCACACATGTAGTTTCAGAAGAGTATGGATTGGTCAAGATTCACTTTCTTTTTTCCCCTTTTTTAAAATATATTTTTATTGATTTCAGAGAAAGGAAGGGAGAAGGGAGAGAGAGAGAAACTCAGTAATGAGAGAAAGTCGTTTGTCGGCTACCTCCTGCTTGCTCCCTGCTGGGGATAGGGCCCGAAGCCCAGGCATGTACCCTGACTGAGAATTGAACCTCGATCTCCTGGATCATAGGTCGATGCTTGACCCCTGAGCCACACTGGCCAGGCAAGATTCACTTTGTTTCTTGATGAGCTATGTAGAATGTTTGTTGTAGAGAGGCATAAGCAGAGTAAGATGTTATCAGAAGGGCACTATGTAAATGTTGCTTCATATGTTCCAGAGCAGTGTTTGTTGCCATTATTAAGCCTGAAGGTTATACAGTATTCTAAAATACGGTTTTTAAATGCTATTTTCAGTTTAGAGAGTTACTCAGTCTTAGAACTGGACATTTTATATGTAACTTTTTTCAATCATACCTTAGGAAAGTTTTGTTTATATGCTTTTTAAAATTTTATTTTAAAAGAAAAATATTTTTCTGTAATTAAAGCTAAACTATACTGTGGGGGGGGAAAAGAAAAATATTTTTTTTAAGTGAAACTCATAAAATTATAAAATGCTGAATTATTCTAATTTTATGTGAAGCTTAGTGTTATTTAATTATGAATTAGATACCATGCTTTGTCTTGCAGGAAGTTCTCATGTAGTTCGTTTATTCCATATCAAAGTAATAAAGCACTGGGTAAATTAATGATATATACATTTGATATACAGTTGCTAAGCTAACTTGTAAAAATCTTTTCTCTTTCAACTTGCCAAAATCAGTCTGTACCCCAGATGTCTCATCAGTCAAAAATCAAGTAAGTGTTTCTTTTTCATAAAACAATGCATAATAACTATGCCTAAGGGAAAAAAAACCCTGTTGTTTAATAATAACTCCTGCCGTGGCCTATGTGGTTCAGTGGTTAGAGGGTTGGCCTGTACACCAAAGGGTCTCGGGTTTCACTCCCAGTCAAGGGCACATACCTGGGTTGTGGGTTCAGTCCGCAGCCCAGGTCAGGGCACGTGAATGACGCAACCAATTGATGTGTCTCTCTCACATCAATGTTTCTCTCTCTCTTTCTCTCTCGCTTTCCCTCCCTCCCTTCCATTCTCTCTAAAAGTCAATGGAAAAAATATCCTCGGGTGAAGATTAACAATAACAATAATAATAATAATAGTAAAGTCCTTATCCTGTGATTTTAAGTGTTCCTTAAAAGCATATAAATCATAGTCTGGAAAAACTAAAACTAATTCTAAGGCTGTTTATTGGTTAGTATTAGTACTTATATTTTAGTACTTATATTAAGGTTAAATTCAGATCATTTCTCCACTTAAACTTGGTTTCACGTTATGTCATATTTCCATATATTAAGGAGGGCCTCTTCCACTTAAGTTATTACTACACAAGTAACTAAGTTAGTAGTAGGCTTGATAGAATTATAACTTTACCTGCCTTTTATATTTGGAGTAAATTTTTTATGAGTTGAAAATAACTGTTGCTGAGGGCAGCAGTTACAATAATGAATAAGCATCTAACAAGTATTTGAATTTATTTTAAATTATTTATTAGCCATGTGTAAAACTTGTATTCTTAGGACTGTAACAGAAACACAAGGTATTGCTTTTGAGCTTTGCATTCTTACTGAATTTCAGAGGGAAACCGAGACTCTTAAAGTTCATTTCTTTAATCAGGGTGCATTTTTAATTGCCTAAAATGGATTGGAAATGTTAAAACAAAATAACTTACTCATTTAAAAAAAAATTTTTTTTAATCCTCACCTAAGGATATGTTTATTGATTTGAGAGAGAGAGAGAGAGAAACACTGATGTAAGAGAAAAACATTGATCCATTGCCTCCCATGTGTGCCTTGACTGGGGGATCAAACCCGCAACCTAGGTGTGTGCCTGGACCGGAAATTGAACCCACAACCTTTTTTGTGCGCTGGACAGTGCTACAATTAACTGAACTAATTCATGCTCTTTCTGGGGAGTTAGAGGATGATTCTCCAAGTACCAAGTGTACAAGGAACTTTGACTAGCTTGGTGGCAGCACCAGGAGTAGAACACATAAACATCAAATAATTAGGATTTTTGGAGCATAAAATAGTCCGACATCGATTTAATAAATATCCTGTGTACCAGGCACTGTGCTTGTTCCTGGGAAAGTAATAGTGGCACGGTAAATAGCTTTGACCTCATGGAGTTTATAATCTAGTTTAATTTGAAAGTAGGATTCTTTCATTTTTAGAGCTTTCAGTGGGAAAGATACACACAATCTCTAGGCACACTAGTTTTCCCACATACCTTGAGATTGAAAGAAGATAATGTATTTAATGTTGTATTTGGCAGGATGAGTTAAACTTTAAATTATTTTAATTTTAGCTCATTTGCTTCTGCTTCCTTGTTCTCAGGGCTGTTTGCTCCCAGCTTCAGTTAAGAGATCTTAGAGTGTGGCGTTAAGCTGACCTGTGTCCAGTGTAACACCTGCCATTGACTGGTTGCTTCACCCTTCTGAGCTTATATCTGTTCATCTGTAAAATTGGGATTAGAAGTGCTTCATTTTTTGAAATGAGAGTTTGAAACTTTTGATAGTGTGTAAAAACTGTTAGCCATTTGGAATAAGTTTCTTTAACATTAGCTTAAGCACAGTGGAATTAGACATATAAGTGAGAACCCTGAAAGTCATGTATTTAAATCCAATGAAAAGGCTTATTGTCTTCTGTGAGTACACATCACAGGAAATTAGTTAAGTAAAATTATTTATCAACAGCTGCTGTGCTATTTTGTTCCTCAAGGTGGAGCTCTTGTTGTTTATCAGATTCTAGTTTTTATCTTGATAAAACATAAGTAACAAGAAAATTAAAATTTCTGTTTTAAGTGTCTTTTTTCTTTTTTAATAGGTATGACTGGTATCAAACAGAATCTCAAGTAATCATTACACTTATGATCAAGAATGTTCAGAAGAATGATGTAAATGTGGAATTTTCAGAAAAAGAGGTCAGTAGTCTTTGAACCATTTTTTATGTTGAAAGTAAATACCTCTTTTTGGAAATATAGTATATTGCAGGGTAATCTTTGGCAGTTTATCAGATATGTCATTTCTTCCTGAGATAGTGTGGAAAATGCTGATGGAAATCTAAAGCATTGCTTTTCATTTTGAATCATTTTAAGTTTTGAGACAAGAGTATATATACGGTAGGTTATAATTAGATGTGCATTCTTTAGATTTGCAATTCAAAGCAGAACTTGGTTGACAAATATAAAAGATATTAGTAAGGTATGTGATTTGGTTACAATTTTGTGGTATACTTCATGAAGAAAGGTCTACTTATTTGTTGTGTGATTTATACATCTTAGAATTTACTAACTATATTAAATGCATATGACTTTTAATATCTCGTTTTCTTAGCATTTAGTAGAAAACTTTATGTTAGATATTGAAGAGTTAGTGGTAGAACTAGATGTTTTGCATATGAATACTTTCTTTTATATTGTGTCATTTTACTCTCCTATCTCGGGTTTCCTTGAGATTTAAATATTAAGTATGTATTTTGAAACATTATTTTCCGCTATTTAATTTAATCGTGTATATGAAAATCTATGTGAAGAATACCAGATTTTAAAACAGGATTATTTTGAGGTTTATAAGTTAGTGTTTAAAATATTCAACAGTATTGAAGTTCTATAATTGTATTTAGTTTAAGTGTTTTACCATTCATTATATACATTTATAAAATGTGCTGCTAATTTTGTGTTTGTTAGTTGTCTGCTTTGGTGAAACTTTCTTCTGGAGAGGATTACAATTTAAAACTGAGACTTCTTCATCCTATAATACCAGAACAGAGCACATTTAAAGTACTTTCAACAAAGGTAAGACAAATGAAAAGGGTTGTCAGTAGTAATATTTTCAAAATATAGAAACATTGGTCAACTAATCACCCATGTGATTATAAGCTTGTAAATCCTTTCAGCTACATGTCTCTAAAAGGGACAGGTAAATAACGATGCTTTTTTTGTTTGTTAATTGTCACCTGAGGATATTTTTTCCATTGATTTTTAGAGAGTGGGAGGGAGGAAGGGGGAAGGAGAGAGAGAGAGAGAGAATAAAAAAGAAAGAGAAACATCAATGTGTCTTCAGTTGGTTGCCTCCTGCATGTGCCCCACGTGGGGCTGGGGATGGAACCTGCAGCCCAGATATGTGCCCTTGACCAAGAATCGAACCCACCACTGTTTGATGCTCTTGCCCATGCTCTATTCACTGAGCCACATTGGCCGGCCGGGTCGGTAACGATAATTTTTGAGTAACAGTTTTCCCCTTCCTAAATTCTAGGACAATAGAGTGTAAAAATCTACTTAATCTCAGTGGTGTTTGTATACTTATTAAGATAAGTATTATACTTCTCAATAAAGAGGTTTTCAAAAAAGATATAATAATCCACCTCTGTTTAAGATTTGATACTGATAGTGCCTCTTCTCTTGAACTTACGAGTCTGGCCTGTTTTGATATACACATACTTTTTTCACCCTACTTTATGCAGTTAAAAATAAAAACTGTTATAAAGATGAATCTGCTCTTTTGTTTGTTTTTAGTTCAGCTGAATTTTAGCTTGCTTTGATGTGAGGGATTAATGAACAGTTTAAATTGCAGTGTGTGTGTTAGATTTCTTTATATATATTTTGTTAATTCTCATCTGAGGATATTTTTCCCATTGCTTTTTCACAGAGAGGAAGGGAGGGAGTGGTGGGGGGAGAGAAACATTGATATGAGGGAGACACACTGACTGGTTGCCTCCTGTACCCACCCCACAAATTGGGGCAGAGAGCAAACCCGAAACCTAGGTACATGCCCTTGATCGGGAATCGAACGAGACCCTGTCGTGCACGGGCCTACTCGCTAACCACTGAGCAACACCGGCCAGGGCAAGTTTCACATGCAGGAGGCAACCAACTGAAGACACATTGATGTTTCTCTTTCTTTTTTATTCTCTCTCCTTCCCTCCCTCCCTCCCACTCTCTCTCTATTTTTTAAAGGAAGTAAAATTAAAATTCAGAGGGTATTTCAAATACCAATCAAAAGATGTAGATTGTAGTGTATAATTTAGTAGGAAAAGTAATGAACTGAAAATCAAAAACGTCTAACTGGTTTTTTGCTTGCCCTGTAAATGAAAACTAGTCACAAAATGATGAGAGGACTAAATTTTTATCTGTAAAAGAGGGATGTGGACTAGATGAGCTCTGGATTTCTTTCAGCTGTAGTTTTATGAAGGTATATGATAAGTTAATCAGAATGATAAATGATATAATAGACTTTTTTCATTACTAACACCTTCTTTGTACATGTCCTGCAGTATATTGTGTTGTTAAGTAGTGAGTCTAAATTCTAAGAATATGAATTCCCTATCATAGACTAGAATCGGGGTCAGCCTGTGTCATGAGAAGAGGTAACAGCCTGTAGAAAGAGGGCACCTGCAGAAGGGTGGAACAGGAAGCGTGAAGTAAAGCAATGTTTTGCATCTAGTTAAAAGTTATCTGCCTACTTGTTTATTTGAAGATTACAAAGTAGGAAGCTGTGTAATTATCAGGTGGAGAGAGGAAACAGAGTTGCTTGGATAGTCAAAAGAGAAAAGGGATGAAATCTTCCCAAGATTTTAGTCTTACTGGCCCCATCCGTCCACATAAGTGTACAATTTGTTGAATAAAAGAATATTGGGTAAGGTAATTAAGCACAAAATAATAGCTAGATTTGGGAGGGATACAGGTCAGAAAATTAGGAGTTTGACATTTTTGTGCATATTTTTATCAAGAGATTGCCAGTGCATGTTCTTTTGAAGTTATTTAAATGTAAGCACATTTGTATGAATAGATGTTAAATGACTTAAAAATTTGTGTTACTGAGCCACTTCGTATACTTAGGAAGAATAGTACATGTGGTAGGTACAGGGGACAAGTTGGTTGATGGTTGCCAGATGGGAGGGCGTTTGAGGGGATGGGTAGAAATGTGAAAGGGATTAAGTACAAACTACCATTTATAAAAGTAGTCACAGGGATGTAAAGTACAGCATAGGGAATATAGTCAATAGTATTGTAATAACTATATATGGTGTCAGATGGGTACTAGACTTGTCAGTGGGATCACTTCATAAGTTATATAAATATCTAATCACTATGTTGTACTAATAAAATATTGTATGTCAACTATAATTGAAAAATAAATTGAAAAGAATAGTGTGTTTGGTAAATATACAAGTCTGTGGCTAGAGTTGAGAATGTAACTAAGCACTGTCATCTCTTTAATTTTTTTCTCTTTTGAACCTTGTTAGTGCTTGTTGTTCTAACCATTCCTCAACCCCCTTACTCTGTTCCCAATTTGCCTCTTCTTTTGCTCCTTTTCCCTTTCTTTAAACGCTATATATCTACTTTTCTTTCTTGTATACTAATTTGTTTATGTATACATTTTTTTTCCCTTACACTTAGTCTGTTTAGGATAAGGAGCATACCATATTTGTATCTTTGTATATGCTCCAGATGGAGTTGCCAGATAAAGTACAGGACACTTAGTTAACTTTATAAACATTGAAAAAATTTTTTTTAGTATAAGTATGTTCCATTTGCTAAATTTGGCATCTCAAACCCTGTGCATTGTACATAGTGGATGCTCAGTAATTGTTCAGTGAGTGAATTTAAATTGGATTCTGATGTTACCATATGAAGTTGGCAGAGTATTTTCATTCTTAGTTTTAGAGATGAAAAGAAACTGAAGTTCACGGACTTTAAATGCTTTCCCCAGGTTCACACGATTACTAAATTGTTCATTCTGGCCCAGGAGGAATGCTTTTAGTTCTCTAAAGCTAGTGCTTCTTTGCTTAGCTTGGATGTATTCTGAAGGATAATATATATTACTGTGTTTGACTATCAACTTTTAAGCTGTATTTTATGGGAACCAGATTGCAAGAATTACATAGTAAGTCTTCACTTAAAGTCATCACTAGGCCGTGCCTGGTTTGGCTCAGTGTTTAGAGCGTCAGCCCAAATGGTCTTGGATTTGATTCCCAGTAAAGGGCATATACCTGGGTTGGTACAGCAGGTTGGATCCCCAGGCCTTGGTCAGGGTGCATGCCAGAGGCAACCAATTGATGTGTCTCTCTCACAGTGATGTTTCTCGCTCTCTCTCCCTCCCTCCTTCTCTTCCTTTCCTTCCATTTCTCTCTAAAAATCAATGGAAAATCCTAGGGTCAGGATTAACAAAAAACAAAACCAGAATATCGATAGGTCCTGTGACTTTAACCAAAACAATGCCTGATGAAACCATTTTACTGATTGATATACTGATATAAATAAGTTAAGTTCCTATGGCATCTCATCAACTTTATAACAAAATGATGTTGAATGAAACGACGTTATTTAAGGGCCTGTCATACGTAATTATATCTTAAGGGAAATGAAAGTTTGAACCCTTTTTCGTACAGCAGAGGGAGACAGTGTTAAAATATTGAAAATAAAATCTTTCTCTGTGTTACTGGGAGTTATTTACTGATGACACTAAGAGGAAAAAGTAGTGAAGTAATTTGCTTTTTCATACATGTTGAAATGTCTTGAATCTTTTATGTGAATTGAGAAAGGATGCATTTTGCTCAGAAGAATTTGCTTAAAAACAGATTCTGTAAACTCTCTGGTTTAAAGTGTTATTTTTTTGCTTCTGAGAATTCTGTTTTTTCTTTCCCACCTTTGAGGTTGAACAAATGTTGCATATTCCTGTATAACCACTGGTTAAGTGTTATTAATTCAAGTGAAAAATTAATATAATTTGCAATGAAAATAAGAACTAGAACCCTAAATGAAATAGCACTTCTTAACTGTTTTACAATGTAATATTTAATGTTTTTCCAAGTCAGAATTTATATTTTTTCCAGTAGCTCTGATAATTATTTCTACTTTTTGCTGAATACCAGCTTTCATATATCTGCCTATTAATCCAATTTTTTAATTAAGAAATTGCAGTGCTCTTTTGTTCCATCTTGTTAACTTCAAGACGGTATTCTCTGGCCACTATCACAGGATTATAACTTCAGTGACAGCTATGCTGTGAAATAATCATTTTAAAGATTAATACTCATTCCCTCTAAGTTAAAAATTAGAATTCTCAGTATCTTCTGGAGTAAATTTTTCCTTGTGGAAATGTTCCTGTATTCCTATTTTAGTCAAAGTAATTTTTCTGTATTATATCAATATAAAATATAATGGCTTTTAACTGAAACCATGGGAAATGAAAATGTGTGTCTTTTAATTAGAAACAAATAGCTCCCTTCTCCCTTATTAACCCATTAAAATTTGAGAAGCATCAGAGTGAATTTATTAATATTCATAGAAGAATCCCAATGATGATGGAATGGAGTGGCAGTGTCTAGGGATGCTGCTGCTTTTTTAAACACACAGATATGGGGGTTGGGGGTTGTTGTTTTGTCTTTGTGATACAGTGGTGGTCATAATAGTGAGGTATTTTTTTTAAAAATAACTGATTAGTTGCTGATGTTTACAAATTATAGATCTTGGAGTATATTCTTCCCACTTTTTCTATTAATGTATATATTTTTTAATGAAAAGGATTTTACTATACATACTGTCTGTAACTGTCTTTTTAAACTTAGCCATACATTAATATTACTTTGACTAAAATAAGAATACAGGTATTTTTCCATGCCCTTAAATATTCTGTAGCAAAGTAGTCATTGTATACATTTACTGTAGCTTATTTAGCCAGTCCCATATTGTTTGACCTGTGGAGAATTATAGTAGGTAACTGTTTTGACTGCTGTGTATTATCCTGTGCAGTCCTCACAATTACTGCATAGTGTACTTATATCACCAATTTACAGGTATGGAAACTGAATCCAGAGATGTTAAATATACCCAGATTTTTTGCTAGTTGTAATGATGATAAAGAGATTGATAGAGCATTATTTGCCAGATGCAGTGCTGTCTTCTTTTCATACTTGGTCTCATTAAGAATCCTAAATGAAGTAGGCCCTATTAATCCCATTATGCAGGAGAAACTGTGAGGCTCAGTGAAATTAGTTACTTGCTTAGGGTCATATAACCAACAAGTTGCACTGTTGGTGAGTCTTATAGATACACAACTGATTATTGTCTTGTTCTCAACCTCTGCTTATTTCTGAGGAAATAAGTAAAACTTCTAAAAGTAAAAGACACTTTCAGCAAGTTGTTATTATCTCTTGGCTCCCTCATCTCTAAAATTTGGATGGTTATCTTTTATAGGATCATTATGTTGAGTGAGATGATACATGTGAAGCACTTTGTACACAGGGTTTATAATAACTGCTCATTAAATATTACTGCTATTATTTTATCCCAATTATTTAGATTTTTCTTCAGGTTATGAAAACTGTGTATTATAGAAAATTCAGAGAAATACAAAGGAGCTGAGAAAGTAATCACTCTAGTCTTACTACTGATGACATTTTGACGTACTTCCTTCCAGACAACTAGATATTTCTCAATACTTAGGTCTGTCCCTACAGATGATATCTACAGTACTGGAATTTTTTGTTCATGGGAAATGTCTCTTCTGATTAATTTCTTTAAGAACAGAGGCTCTTACCTTATGTACCAGCATAGTGCCTGGCTCAGAGTAAGCACTCAGTAAATATTTGAATTGAGCTGTTAGAACTTTGGAGAAGATTTTCAGTTTCTCTTCATTCATTACCATCTGTTGCATTTTAAAAATGATTATAAAATAATTTGAGTGTAAAAGTAAAGAAGCTAGATGCTCACTCTGCCTCAGGGAGACTGAGCTACTCTCTTAACAGACAGAGGGGTTTGATTCAGCAATTAAATGTGCAAAGAGCTGAGTAAAAAAATTTGGGAAAATTACATTCTGAAGGTTAGGAGAACAATTATTTAGTGACTACAGCCTTAGAACAGGTTCTCAAAAGTTTGCCAGAAAAAAAGTAGTTTATGAGTAAACTGCACAGCTTTCTCGTGTCTGGGAAAGATCCCTTCCCTGTCCACCTGTAGCATTAAGTGGGAGCTTACTTAGCACTTCTTAAGAAGGTGGTGTCTGGATACCCAATGGGGGTAATGGCTTCTCTTTAAATCTTAAGTTTCTTTCATTGGAAAAAATTAAACATTCTGCTGTGCAAAGAAGACCTTAGAGGTGGGTGGTAGTACACATAATACTGAAAACTGACCATCTAGCACAGTAGGAATTCTTATTAGTAACCTGTGAATACTGTTTTGGGATATTATGCATTGAAAGCCTTCCCTGTGCATATGAGAGCAACATTCAAGCAAAATACCAAAGATTTAAGTTAATTTTTAAATTATTTTTGACTTAAATGAAAATAGAATGGTTTATTAATGGTTGCAGTAAAAATATCTAAAATTGAAGTGGTGATTCTAGAAGTATTTGCCAGAATCAAGACTTAAACTTCATTTTTAAAGCATCAGAAGTGAAGTAGGTGTAAAAAGGAATTCATAGAAAATTAGTTTTCCCCACCCCCTTTTACCTTTTAAAAAAGCTACTTTAAATGGTTTATTATGTGCAGCTATTTCAGTGAATGGATTAAGTATAACTTCACGTTCAGGTCAGTGTTTCTTGGTTGAATCAGGTTGTTCCTAAGAGCTTTTTGACTTTGGTTTTATAAAGGCCTCTCTGTTTGGACTGCACAATTACTCGGGTTATAGTGGCTTTCAGTAGATGCCAGTGCTAGTGTGTGCTGCTCTTCAGGGAAAACAAGGAACTTTTTATAGATAGTGCTTAGCATGGGAACATGAGGTGTGAATATAGGGTGCCCTGTGGTTGAGGCTAGTTAAGGATAGTGTTTATGTATACCCTGCTTGCCAGGTCTTCATTTCCAGATGAGTCGAAAATTAAAGGAGCAAGATGGCAATTTTAAATTTTAGGATAATATTAATAGCCTTTTATAGTAACTACTGCTTTGTCATTGCTAGCTATTCAATTTTTGTTCCTTTTAGATAACTATCAGCAGTTACAACTTCAAATAACCAGAGCTCAATGGGTTAATACTGTGTATGAGAAAATGTTGGTGATATTTTACTTTATAAAAATTAATCATAGTTTATTTTAGGGAATTCTAGAGATTCTTACAAAATATTTGTTTTTATTTATGTAGAATTTAAACATATACATTAAATTAAAAATACTGTACTTCTGCCCCTTTCCCACTGACATTTGTATTGTTTTCTCTCATGAAACAATTTTTTGTTACTTTTCTATGTTTCTAAAAAAAATTTTGATTACTCAGAGACCACACCCCTTCCATACCATCACATCATGTCTCATTAAAATACTGAGGTTGGTTAAATGTTTTGTTAAGGTATTTTTAAATGCTAATTTTAAGGATTCTCACACTAAATGCATGTTTTAGAAAGATTACAAGTAATTGCTAATTTAAATGGTTCATCTAATCTAAAGGAGTCAAATAACTAAGGTGTGAATAGGTGTGTTTTTTTGTTAAACCTGTCTTTTGAGGTTTATCTATTAATAAAAGTAACCTTTTTCTTAGAAAAAAATGTTAGAATATAACATTCTAATTAGATTCTTAAACTGTTTGCATAATAATTATTACTGTTTACCATTACTATAAATGCTGATTTTTGCTAGGCTAAATAAACATGGGGGTGAGGGTATTTGAATAAGGAAAAAAAGTAGATATAAGTGCACTGTGAGTGTATGTTAGGGTTAAGGGTATTTAGGGCTGAGCCTTGGTTAGAGAGTAAAAGATGCTTTTAGGATGCTGTTAAACATTTTATTTTAATAAGTGACCTTAGTTTAGCACTTAGGAGCTGTTCATAGTCTGCCATACACCATTTTTCCATCTATATTTTTCACTGCTCTAACATAAATCCTGGACTTGAAGCAAATTAGTCTTCTCCCTACTCCCTGATGCACTGTGCCCTTTCATGTGCCCTTTCACACCTCATGGCTCCAGTTAGGCCATTCCCTTTGCTTCTGGAGATCTACCCTGTCTACCATAGCAGATGCTCCTTCCTCTCACAGCTCTTCACAGGTACTCTGAAACTTTACCTGTTCACACCTAGGTGTGATGTACCCTGAGCGTTTAGAACATTTATTTGCCTCTTGAGTAACTTTCAAATGTCTTGCATTCTTGGAAATGGTCAAGAACATGTCTTAAATATTTAAAAAATCCTTCTCATCCCCGAAGACTATACCTCGCTCATAGTGGGTGTTTAATAAGTATTTAATGAATGGTTGTGAAAATGTTGGTATTAGTTGTATTATTTTTTTATACAGTGGAATGAATTTTCTCCTCTAAAATAGATTAATGTATATGCAAATGTAGTAATTTGTTTCGAACAGGATTTATTGGAGGTTGGCATTGTTCCATTTTGGGCTGGATAATTGCTGTGAGAGGTTGTCTTGTATGGTATAGGATGTTTAGTAGCACCCACTAGCCTCACTAAATGTCAGAAGCACCCCTCATCCCCACCCCAGTTGTGACTACCAACAGTGTATCCAGACATTGCCAAATACCCCTTGGGGTCAGTATCACTCCTGGTTAAGAACACAGCCTTAGAAGAAAAAAGCATAAGGATTTCAAGACTCTTCTTAATTGTAGTTTCTAATGTATGTTTTTGAAGGGCTTTTGAGTAAAAACAAATGTTTCAAAATTCTTCAAATTTAACTTTGTATAATTTAAGGAAACTATCTCAAGGACACTATTAATTCTTATAAAACTTGATGACTTAAGAAAATTACATTTTTGTGTCTATTTTACATTGAATAATGAATTTTATTTGGTATTTCCTACAGATTGAAATTAAAATGAAAAAGCCAGAGGCTGTGAGATGGGAAAAACTAGAGGGACAAGGAGATGAGCCTAAGTCAAAACAGTTCATAACAGGTTTGTTTTCTTGCCTTGATGAGCTTTAAATTCAAATTGTGTAATATAGTTGAAATTAAATAGTAATGAACATTCTTTCTGCTTTCATTATTTATGTTCCCATTATAATATACATCACGTATAATAAGTTTGCTCTATAATGAATACAAATTGGCTTTTTTTTTTTCTTTTTTGAATTTCACTTACTAATTTATTTATTATTCATGATCTGTGGCATTAGAGATAACCTGGGCATTTTATATCCTAGAATTAATAAAGAAATGCACAGAAACACTAGATTTTTTAGTATGAGAATATTCTTAGTTATGTAGGTGGTCTTTTTGCAAGATTGGGTCACGCAGCAATATCTTAAAAAGAAGAGTATTTGTAGTACTTGATTATGAAAACTACATCGTTTTATATTGGTTTTTTCTTATGAAGGTTATGACTTCTTAAACTCTTTTTTAATTTTTATGTTTTTATTGATTTGAGAGAGAGGAAAGGAGAGGGAGAGAGAGAGAGAAACATCAATATCAATGAGAGGGAGTCATTGATTGGCTGCCTCTTACACACTCCCTATTGGGGATCAAGCCCGCAACCTGGGCATGTGCCCTGACCAGTCATCAATTGGTGACCTCTTGGTTCATGGGTCCACGCTCAACCACTAAGCCACACCTGCCGAGCTGACTTCTTAAACTCTTAAGGAGTATAAATGAATGGCAGCAAAAGACCAGAGGGAATTGGAATTTATTGTTTGTTTACCTTGCCAGTTTTTGACATAAGTTGGAAGTGGTTTGGTTTTTTGTGTGTTGGCTTTTCCTATTTGTGCTTTTTGGGTTTTAAGTGAATTAGTAGTTTACTAATATATCCTCTCCCTTCTTATTTATTCCTTTCTATTTTGATGTTGTCAACTCTGATTTATAAGAATTTCATAGTTGCACTGAGTCAAGTATCTATTTCACAATATTGCTAATATAGAGATAGAAGCAAACAAGAATAAATGTCTAAGAAAAGCCTAGGAGAAGAGTAAAAAACTAGGGTTAATACGTTTAACCCTTTAAGGGACAGACTACTTTATTTGAGGTCAATTCTAAGCATGTGTAATAGGTATTTTTCTAATGGGATAATTAATCTGTAGGACACTCTTAGAACAGCCTTAGACTATATTTTACAGCAATGGCCTCATTAATGGAGAGGACTATCTTTTTGGTTAGAATTAATGCTTTTGATCTGATGATTAAAATGGGTAACACTATGTTTCAGCTACTTTTAGATTTTTTACTGCTTGCTTCTATAACAGAAAACACATTTCCTTGTGGAACCTTTTAGAAAACACCGAGTTAGCCAACAGATCATTCATTTTTATTTTTATTTTGAAATAATTTTAGATTCTCATACAAGTTGCAGAAATAGAGTTTCTATGTACCCTTCACCCAGCTTTCCTGCATGATAATGTAACTAAGCTATAGAATAATTAGCAAAGCCAGGACACTGACACCAACAGATAATTTTTAAGAATGAAATTTGGGGCTGGATAATTAAGAATGAAATTTCAAATTGGTATTTAAGCTATTTAATTCAGCTTCTGCTTCCCACTTCATTTGAAAGACGTAGTAAAGATGTTATGTGCTTTTCTTGGAGCTGACTCCCAGAGATTTTTGGGCTGAGGTTTATATATAGCTCAAAGCATTTTTAAAAGAAACACTTTAAATGTAGCATCTCATTTAATTCTAATAATAGCCTTATATAGTAGGCAGCCCAGTATTGTTTCTCCTATTTTACAGGTTCAGAAAGGTTAAACAACTTGCTTAAGATCACCTAGCATTTTTTATTGTCTAGGACTATAAACCCAGGTCTTCAGGGTCAGGGTCTGGTTCTTCTGTTAACCTCGTATGTTTTAGTGCTTATTGCTGCATTTCCTAACAATGGAAAGTCTCTGCTGACATGACTATCTTTGCAGTTATTTGATATTATAGTGAATGAGCAAAGAAGTTAGGTTAGTTATCTCTTAGTAATTCATCTACTATCTACAGGTGTTAAAGTTTTCTGAGATCAACTGTAAAGGTTTTTTTAATTTTATAAATTTTTTCTAAGCTAAATGCTTTGCATATTCATAAAGATGCTATTCCTCCTGTCCTGTTATATTTTTGTAAAGAATTAATATGCTTGTCAGATTCCTGTGTCCTGTAGGTTACAGACTGCAGATAAGGGCACATTGCTTACCCTATCTGGGCAATTAGAACCTGCATTCCCATCCTTCTGGGGAGTCTGCATTAAGATTAATTAAACCCATGTTTCCTAGGTTCTTAATTTTTATGGCATTTAAAATATTTTCTTTGGCTACTAGTGATAATGTACAGAGGTAGAGGAGATTACTACTAGAGGAAGGTAGGTAGGATTTGGAAAATAGTATGCTTGCCCTGAATAAAACTGTTATGTGTTGTGGTTTTGTTTTGAGGCAAGGATAGGCAATTGGTTTACCAGTGAAGAGAAAGGATGGAAAAACAGAATGAATAATGAGTATTTCTCAACTATTTTGAGGAAGGGGATATAGAGGGCAGAAAGACATTTAGATTGGCATTAATGTGTTCTAATATATTGATAGGGAATCTTTGAATCAGTTTGTGTGTTTTTTAATCTCTGTAGTTGCAGTTTCCAATATAGTAGCTGCTTGCCACATGTACCTTTTGAGCACTTGAAATATGACTAGCCTGGATTTGAGATGTGCTGTAAGTGTAAAATACATACCAAATTTTGAAGACTTAGTATGAAAAAAGATATAAAATACCATAATATTTTAACTTTTATTTCATGTTGAAATGATACTATTTTGGATATATTCTGTTAAATAAAATATATTATTAAAATGCCTTTCACTTGATTCTAGTAAGGTAGTTACTAGAAATTTTTAAATTATATATGTGGCTCACATTTGTGGCTTGCATTATATTTCCATTGGACAGTGAACAGAACTGTTCTTATAGCTACTGGGTAGGTTACTTTTAAATTATTTGTGTGCCAATATCTTGATTCCTTTGGTCTTTGGGGCAGCCTTGACAGTGCCCTGATTCCCTGGGCTGGTGGCCTCCATTTATCCCTACAAATACTATTATTTGCTGTGTGTGTATAGTGTGGGCATTGACCTCTAGTTCATCCCATGTAGTATTTTTCAATATTAAGAACTTCCTTATTATCTCCTATTGAAGCAATCTTTTTAATGTGGGGAGATAATGGACAAAGTCTTAACTCATTGCTGAATGGGATGGATAATTATATTTTCAGTTTATTTCTACTCTGGAAGATATATAAGTATCTCAGGAAAAGCCACATTGTTAACATTAAAATCTTATTTATAAGAGAAATTTCTTAAGCAACTTAAAACTAATTTTAGAATTATTTGTACTATCTTTGCAACTTTTCTGTAAATATAAAAAACTTCCTATATACTCTCAATGAATTTCCCCTATTATTAACATGAAGAATCTGTTTTTATTTTAATTTTGCATAATGTACCAAAAGTTTACACTTCATTGAAGTTACTTTGTTCAAAAGAAATTACTAGATTTTTTTATATTACGTTGATTCAGGTTTTAGAAGTGTAAATTTAATTATTGATGTTTGTATCAGAAAGATACTTATTTCAAACATGAAATTCAGTCACCTATTATTTGCTAAGGTATTCTGTGTACCATAGTCACAAAGTTTACATGTTCTTGGTATAATCAACACATGTTGATTAATCACTTCTTTTTACTCTGTAGATGTAAAGAACCTATATCCATCATCATCTCTTTATACAAGAAATTGGGATAAATTGGTTGGAGAGATCAAAGAAGAAGAAAAGAATGAGAAGTTGGAAGGAGATGCAGCTTTAAACAAATTATTTCAGCAGATCTATTCAGATGGTTCTGATGAAGTGAAACGTGCCATGAACAAATCATTTGTAAGAATATATACTTGAAAAAAATATATTGTGGTAGTAAATTTCTGAAATTTTAAAAGAATAAGTATAAAATTTGATACTAAGTTGCATGTATTATAGAGACCTTTTTTTAAAGAAATATATCTTTATTGATTTCAGAGAGAGGAAAGGAGAGGGAGAGAGAGAGATAGAAACATCAATGATGAGAGAGTCATTGGTCGGCCGCCTCCTGCACGCCCCCAACTGGGGATTGAGCCCGCAACCCAGGCATATGCCCTGACTGGGAATCAAACCCCGATTGCCTGAATCCTAGGTTGACACTCAACCGCTGAGCCACACCCAGCTGGGCTAGAGACCTTTTGAGTAGGTTTTGTCTGAACATTTCTTCTTGCTCTAAACTTGAGGGTAATTATTGAGGAAGTCAGAAACGTGTGGAGGAGATGAGAAACAAATGGTTTACACCAAATATTTTTGTCATTGAGTTAGAACTGGAAAGGCTTAAGAAATACCAAGGTTACAGTGGGTGAGTTATTCTAGTTGGATTTATCACAATAGCTAAATGTAAGCTTCCATTGTTTACCTTCTAGAATCATGTATAGTCTCAGTATCAGAGATGAAGAATACAAAAGGGAAACTTCCAGAACAGTGTTTGGCAAGTGAAGGTGCACATTAATTATTCATTTTAAAAAAAAATAATAATTTCTCTATTGAGTAAGAAAATTCAAACTTTTTGTCAGGACAGCATAAATGCTATCTAAATTAGGCCTCAAGTGCTCAGATGTTAATGACAAGTCATCACTGTAGAACTATGTAGGTTATTTTGCTAAAAGATGTAATCATTTGATTTTTACCAGTAGCTCTGAAAATGTAACACACTTTTTTTTATCCTCACTGAGGATATGTTTATTGATTTTTGGGGGGGAGAAAGAGAAACATCGATGTGAGAGAAAAACATTGATCCATTGCCTCCTGTAGGTGCCCCAACCAGGGATCAAACCTCCAACCTAGGTATGCGCCTTGACCAGGAATCGAACCTACAACCTTTTGGCGTAGGGGATGACGCTCCAGCCAACTGAGTCACTAGGCCAGGGCTGTAACTCTCTTCTTTAAGGCATTTATATTTACAGTAGGAAGTTAAAATTAATATTTAATAATTAATATTTAGTTAATCAGTGTGTTTGAGGTTTAGATATTCCACATAAGTTACCATGTGGTAACTGGTCATGATTATGCTTTTCAAAACTGTTGGCTTAAAAAAATTTTGTTTTAATTAAATTTTTTATTTTGAGATAGTTGTAGATTCACATTCAGTTAAAAGAAATGAGAGAGACTGCTTGTATCCTTTACAGTTTCTCCCAGTGGCAACATTTTATAAAACTGTAGTACAGCATTACAACCATAATATTGACAGTTAAAGAACAAAACATTTCCATTGCCACAGGATCTCTCCTTGTCATTTTATAGCCATATCCACTTGCGTCCCACTCCTACCCCTTCTTGACCCCTAACAACCACTAATCTGACAAGTCTTTGTCAGATAGGTAGTTTACAGATATTTCTCTCAGTCTGTAGCTTGTCTTTTCATTTTTTTAATGCTCTTCTGCAGAGCCAAAGTATTTAATTTTGATGAAGTTCAGTTTATCATGTGTTTCCTTTATGGATCATGCTTTTGGTGTCGAATCTAAAACGCTTCGTAGTCCTAGATCTCAAAGATTTTCCCCCCACATTTTTTTAAAATAAAAGTTTTGTAGTTTTACTTATTACATTTAAGTCCATGATCCATTTTCAGTTAATTTTTATATAAAGTATGAGTCATAGGTTAAGGGATTTTGTTTGTTTTAACCTGTGTATGTTCAGTTGCTCTACTTATTGAAAAGATTGTCTTTCCTCCATTGAATTTCTTTTCACCTTTCTCAAAAATCAGTTGAGTCTATTTCTGTGTTCCCTGTTCCATTGATCTACATGTCTATCCCTTTGTTAACATCATAGTCATGATTGCTATAGCTATATAAATCTTGAAATTGGGCAGATCTATTTCTCTTTATTCTTAATTTTCAAATTCTTTTAGTTCCTTTGCCTTTCCATATACATTTTAGAATATTTTGTCTATATGTACAAAAAAATCCTGTTAGGAATTGCATTGAGCTGTATATCAATTTAGAGAAATTGACATGTTTACTGTGTTGAATTTTCCAACCCATTTATTTATTGCTTCTCTGATTCCTTTGATCAGCATTGTGCAGTTTTCAGCATATATGTCGTGTATGTTTTGCTAGATATGCCCAAATATTTAATTCTTTTTTGAGTGATTATAAATAATATTATATATTTAATATTGGTTTATTGCTAGTATGTAGAAATACAGTTGTTGTTTTTTAATGTTAGTCTTATATTCTGTGAGTTTGTTGAACTTAGTAGTTTTAGGAGATTTTTTCATAAATTCTTTATGATCTAAGAAGAATAGATTACTTCTGTTTTTACATCATATTGTCTTCAAATATGGACAATTTTATTTTTTCCTTTTATCTTTTCTTGCCATATTGCATTGGCTGGAACTTCTAGCACTAATGTTGAATGAGAGTGTTGAGAGTGGATATCCCCATCTTCAGTCTTTCACTATTAAGTATGTTAGTTGTAGGTATTTTGTCAGTGCTCAATCAAATTGAAGTTCTGCTCTATTCCTATTTTTTACTGAGATTTTTATCATGAATGGCTGTTGACTTGTTGAATGCTTTTTCTGCATTGGTCGATATAATTATGTGATTTTTCTTCTTTAACTTTTTGCAGTGGTGACTTTATGTGATTAATATGATTGATTTCTACTGCTGGACCAGCCTTGCATCCCTGGAATAAATCCCACTTTGTCATAGTATATAATTCTTTTTATCTATTACTCAATTCTATTTTCATATACTTTGTTGAGGATTTTTGTGTCTGTATTCAAAATGGATTTGGTCTATAGTATTCTATTTTTGTACTTTGTCTGGTTTTGGAGTCAGGGTTATACTAACTTTATAGAAGGATTAGGAAGTACTCCATCCTCTACTATTTTTCGGAAAAGCTTGTGTAGAATTGGGGTTCATTTTTCTTTAAACATTCTTTAAACCAATGAAATCATCTTTGCCTATTCATTTCGTTTGGAAGGATTTTAAATTCTGATTTTAATTATCCTAATAGCATATAGGACTACTCAGATTATCTGTTTCATATTTATTGAGTGACTTGTGGTAGTTTGTGTTTTTGAGAAATTGGTCTATTTTGTGTTAGTTCTTTTTTAAAAAAAAAAAAAATCTTTATTGATTTCAGAGAGGGGGAAGGAGAGGGAGAGAGATAGAAACATCAATGATGAGAGAGTCACTGATCGGCTGCCTCCTGCACGCCCCTGACTGGGGATCGAGCCCGCAACCCAGGCATGTGCCCTGACCGGGAATCGAACCCCAATCGCCTGGATCCTAGGTCGATGCTCAACCACTGAGCCACAGCCGGCTGGGCTTGTGTAAGTTCTTAGTGTTGGTGGTATTCCCTTGTTACCCTTTTGATGTCTGCAGGGTCTCAATGGTGATGTTCCATTTCATTCCTATAATGGTAATTTGTTTCCTTTCTCCTCCCCCTCTCCCCCTTTGTCATTCTTGCTAGAGGTTTGTCAGCTTTGTTGATTTTTTTCCCCAAAGAATCAACTCTTTGTTGATTAAAAACTTTTTTTCCTAAATTTTATTAATTCCTGTTTTTTGTTATTTTCTTCCTTCTGCTTGATTTGGGTTTATTTTGCTATTTTTTTTCCTGGATTCTTCAGATGTAGCTTAGACTGTTGATATGACCCTTTTTCTCTTTTCTGTTGTGTAGGTTTATACTATAAATTTCTCTCTCAGCAGAATTTTAGCTGTCTCCCACAATTTTTGATGTTATATTTTCATTTTTACTCAGTTCAGTATGTATTTTGATTTCAGTTGAGACTTCATTTTCTCCTGGGTTGTTTGTTGAGTAGTTTCCAAGTATTTGGAGATTTTCCTGTTGTCTTTCTGTTATTGATTTCTAATTATATTTCCTTGTGGTTTGAGAATATGATTTACATTCTTTTAAATTTGTTGATGTTTGTTTTATTGCCCAGGATTTGGTCTATCTTAACTAACCTTCCACTTGAAAAGAATGCTGTTGTTGAGTGGAGTGTTCTATAAATATCAGTTAGATTCTTTTGGTTGATATTTTTTTTGGATACCTCTATATCATTGCTGATTTTCTGTCTTATTCTATCATTTGTTGAGAGAGGGTCCCCAACTGTAATCATGTATTTGTCTATTTTTCCTTTAAGTTCTGTCAATTTTTGCTTTACATGTTTTCCAGCTCTTTTGTTTGGTACATATGCATATTTAGGATTACTATGTCTTCATGGTGGATTAGCCTTTTATATAATTACATAATGTCATTCTCTGGTAATTTTCTTTGCTCTGATATTAATATAGCCAATTCTTCTGACTTTTGATTAATTTTTGTATAATACATCTTATTTTATCCGTGTACTTTCAACGTACTTGTGTCATACTGAAAGTGAGTTTCTTTAGACAGCATATAGTTGGGCCGTGTTTTTTTAATCTACTCTACCAATCTCTTTTCATTGATAATTTAGACCATTTACATTTAATGTAATTTTTGATATGTGAGGACTTAAGTCCACTGTTTTATTTTTTGTTTCCTGCTTCGTTCTTGTGTTGTTTCTCTTTTTTTGTTTTTCTTGCTTTCCTATGAGTACTTGAACATAGTTTAGGATTTCATCTTGATTTATCTGTATTCTTTTTTTTAGTACCTTCTTTGTATTTTCAGTGGATGTTTTAGATATTATGTTGGCTACATTATACATAGCTTATCATCGTTTATGGGTATCAGTGTTTTTTGCCAGTTTCAGAGAGGTACAGAAACTTTACCTCCTTCTGTGTCCCTTTACCATCTCTTGTTTATAGTTTTCATAATATTTCCTTTACATACATTTAGAACTACATCAGTGATAATGTTCACTCACCTGTAAAACATAATTTAGAAAACTCAGGAGGAAAAGCTCTCAGGAAGAAAAGTTCTGTTGTATTTACCCATTTCCCTTCCCTCTTCCCTTCCCTTTTTTTTTTTCTTTCTGTTCCAAGGTTCTATCTTTTGCATCTTTTCTCTTTAGATAACTTCCTTTAGGAGTTCTTTTAGGGTAGATCTGCCTATGACAAATTCTTTGTCTCGGCAAGGTTTTTTTGGAGGTTTATATTGATTGGGGTTTGCTGAGTTTCTTGAATCTGTAGTTTATGTCCCTTCCCAAATTTGGGAAAATTTTAGCCATTATTTCATTGAGTATTTTTTCAGACCTGCCTTCTTTGTTCTCTCCCTCCTGCAAGCTGATGACACAAATGTTAGATATTTTGTTAAATCCCACACATTCCTAGGATTCTCTTCATTTTATTTCCATATTCTCTCTCTGTCATTCATATTTGGTGATTTATATTGTTTTGTTTTCTTTTCCAGTTCACTGATTCTTTTTCTATCCCCTCTATTCTGCTCTTGGGCCCATCCTCTAATCTTTTCATTTCAATTATATTTTCCAATTCTAAAACTACCCATTTAGTTCTTCTTTGTATCTTCTTTATATGTTGAGGCTTTTTACTTTTTTGTTTATTTCAGGCAAGTTTGTAATTTCTTGTTGAAGCATTTTTACCATGACTAATTTAAAATCTTTTTCAGATGATTTTAACATCTCTGACATCTCAATGTTAGCATCTATTGTTTTTTCTTTTTTTAAATATAATTTGAAATCTGTATTTTGTCTGGTATTTTTCACTAGTGTCAAGTGGTTTTCAGTTGAAACCTAGACATTTTCATGTTATGCTATGGGACTCTGGATCTTATTTAAACCCTCTGTCATAGTTGGTTTTCTCTCAGTCTGGCAGGGGAAGTGAAGGCACACCACCTCAGTACTGCTAGGGAGAGGTAGAAATTCAGGTACCCCACTTGGCTCCCTTAAATCCTTAAACACTTGGCATCTCCTTGTCACTGCTGGGAGTAGTTCCAGCTCCCCACATTTTTCCATTGACACTGCAGGCAGCAGAGGAGGTGGGTTTATGACAGCCTAGCATGGGTAAGCTCCCCACTCAGCCTTTGGTAGCCTGGGTGGAGATGGGACCACAGTTTTTTCTGTGGTGTTTAGCTGGAGTAGAGCGATCATTGTCTAAAATTTTTCTGACTTCCTAGGCTGTTTTTCTGTTTTCCTTCATTCTTTGGCTACAGAGATCAGGCTTTTGTTGGGACTTTTTTTGTTGTTGTTTGCACCCTTTGGCATTTTTAGCTTTAGCTCCGACTCTAGGACATAATGAGGCAGAAAGAAAACCCAGGGAACTCACCACATGTTGTTCCTGGGGTTCCAAGGTCTCTAGTTGATCTTTCATCTTTTTTTTACCTTTTAGACTCTTCTTAATTTCCCTCTCTCCCTCCTTCCCTCCTTCCCTCTGCCCCTCTCTCTCTCTTAGGTTTTTAGTTGTACTTAATGGGAAGAATAGGAAAAAGTACATTTACTCCATGTCCCCAGAAGCAGAAGTCATTCTCAGTATTGACTTTCAAGAGACTGCCAGACAAAGTAGCAGTGTGTGAAATTTCAAAGATAGATTATAGGAGCTACACCTATTTTCATACAGAAACTTTGCTAGTTGTAATTAAACCATGTACACCCATAAAACAAGCCATCTGTTTGGCAACATTGACCTGGAACCTACTTAGTGTTGCTTCTGTCCTTGTGGGAATACAGAAGAGATAAAATAGGGTCTATCATGTATGATCTTCCAGCCTAATTGGGACAAAAAGACCATCATATACAAAATAATCAGAGGAAAATGCTAAATTGCACTACAGTCCATTAGGAGAGAAGGGAAATAAATTTCAGCGAATATGATCAGATTATAAACTATGCTTCCTTCAGTCCTCTTAAGGGTGGTTTATTATGTAGACTTGTCCAATTTTATTCAGTATTTTATTCAAAGCCTACCAGGTGCCAGGCCATTGTGCTTAGGTCTAGGATATAAGTATTAATAAAATATACTCCTTGTTTTTTAGGAGCTTTAGTTGGAAACAGAAAGGGTGGGAAACAGAAAGAAGGAAAGAAGGCAGACCTTTAAAGTTATAACAGTGCAGTGTGATACTTGTTATATTTATGGTGATTATGTTTATAGAGAAGACAAATTCTGCAAGTGTAGAGTCCTGATATTGGGTCAAAGAAGGCAACAGAGTATTGGTAATATGTTGTGTTTGGAGCACAGCTAAAGAACTTGGGTGGAAAAGAGCATCTGATGCAAAGGAACCCATGTAAGGGAGCTTGGCAGAGAGTGTGGGGCAGGGGGTTATAGTGAGGTTTTGGTGTAATAGTAGGGTATGTAACTTTACACATTTGCGAGCAACAAGTTGATCATTTTTAAATGTTTAGATTTTAATAATTCACACTGTTCTTTGCTGTGATTCAGGTCAATGAATTTTTATTGTGTTAAGATAACAAATGTCCAGAAAAAACTTTAAGGTATTTATGTGCAAGGTTTAGTGGGTGGTATATTCAGTAGATGCTAAATAGATTACCAGTTCTTTACTGAAACACTTTGTATATCTGTGTATGCACCTTGATTTAAATAAAAAAACATTCCAGCATATACTTGGTACAGAAAGAGCATTAAGAGGGGGCTCTTCAAGTTTTGTCCAACTAGTGTAGAAAGAGTTTATTTTGCCTGATCTTTACTGTCCTTGAAAGAGATTGCATCCTTATTTTCTTTGGGAGCCCATTTTATTTTCATCTGAAGGTAGTTTTTCCACATATACCTCTACGCTGATTAGCTGAGGGAGACGTGGTGCTTTTTATGTGAACATGATGCTTCTACCTACCTACTCTAGACCTTCTTTTCAGATTTTACAGAACATGTTAACTTCTCTGGAAAGCTTAAGACTAAATCAAAATATTGTCTTGTGTTTTGATTGAACCATGCATAGCTAATATTTGGGACTCTGCGCTTAGGAAATTTTTAGAAAAAAATGTTGTTTTGATTATATGGTCTAAGAATTAATCTATTTTTATTTCTTATTGCAGATGGAGTCTGGTGGTACAGTTTTGAGTACCAACTGGTCTGATGTAGGTAAAAGGAAAGTTGAAATCAATCCTCCTGATGATATGGAATGGAAAAAGTATTAAATAAATTAATTTGCTATTACTGCATTGCATATATTCACCTAATGCCCATTGTGTATTAATATTGCATTCTTGAATTTTGAACACTGAGTACCTTTTTCAAAGATTATACCTCTTTACCTCTCTGTGCTCTAGAAATTATTTTCCTTCAAGTGTTCAGAGTCTAATGAAGAATGAAGGTCATATTTTATCACTCTGTCCTTAAGGATTTTAGACATGCTGAAACGGAGTGAGGTATCATTTGCTACTGGATAGATTAGTTCTACCTAGTTATGGGAGTGGAGGAATTGTTCATGGGATATCTTGGGTTATTGCCTTATTTTCGATGCAGCATTCTGTTAATAATTTATCAGACTTGGCAACTTTGGGTGAGCATAGATTTTTCAACTTCAGTGTTATATTGTTTGCTTTTAAAAACTGCTTTTGAATTGAATTGTAAATACAATTTTTTCTATGAAGAAGTTTGGTTTATTTACCTTTTTCTTAAGTTTTTAATGAGAACTTTGAGAAATTATTTATCACAGGGAAATTCCCATTTGGTTCTTCTTATGGGAAGTATTTGTAATTGCACTGAGATTTCGATCCTTATCTTCAAATTTCTGTATAAAAACACAGACACCTGAGTTGAACATGCTGCAGATTGAACTGTACTGAAGGTTAATCTGTGAAGATGAGAACAGAGAGTGATTTAGGAAAGCCCAGCTTCACTTCTTGCTGCTTTTGCCACAGCAGGATTCCTGAAATTACAGCACTGGTGGGTTGGTTTGGTTTTTGTAGGGTTTGTTTTTTTGTTTGTTTTATTATTTTTTTCTTTATTAGAAAGTCTCACATCCCTGTGATTACTTTGGTTTCAGTGATTTAGGGTAGCTCCTGGGAGAGTAAACTAATATGTATCTATTTAGTAACATTTTGTGGTAAGGCACTACTGTATGCCTCCATAGCTGAGGATTGGATGAATGGGAGGCAAATGATCAGCCATCATTTCAGCCTCCAAAAGAGTGGGCTAGCCTCTTCTAGTCATGAAGTGTAGGGTTGTTCATAAGGAAAATGGGTGATACCAGACCATGCCCAAACCTGTTGTCATAGCTTGTTTGGGGGGGGGTGGTTCACTTCTGCCCATTTAGAGCTACAGGCTACATTTTTTTGTTCTTGAACACTGAAGGAAAAGGTAAAATTAAGTTCTTGATTGTATGAATTTCTAAAATTTTCTCCTTAGGGGAAAAATTAGTGAATTTTGCATTCTCTATGTTTAAATTTCTCAGTACCATTAGTCCTAAGGGGTAGGTAGGCTCTTTCTGCAAAGGTGATGTCAGGGAAGAATACTGCACTACATCAGAGACAAGAATCCTAGCTCTAGCAAGTCTCTGCCACTACCTGGCTTTATAATCTTCGATGAGTTTAGCCTTCCTGTCTTAGTTCCTGTGTCTGTAAATAATCTATAGAGTTTTAGAGGTATAATTAGAAGTCTTTGATACTAAATACAGAAACATTTTTGTCACTTAAGAGTAATGTTTTTCTTTCTTATAAATGACACTACTATAATAGAAATTTGTGGGGTTTTTTTAATTTAGTAATAATTTTTCTTATATTTGAAAGGATACATTATATATAAAGTATGCTTACCGATGGGCAAGGTTTGTTTAGTGTTGGATTCAGAATTTTGCTGAGCCAAGTGGAGTTCCTAATATACATGACTGTATTACAAAATTATAAAATATACCTGATCTAAATATAATAGATTTATTGTAAAGAAGGGAATTTGAAGTAGTTTAGACTATTGTTCTAAAGTACTGCTATCTTTCAGCATCATACATGATGAAAATTTGTAAACCTCCGGGAAGTTAAAACTTCGTTTTGATTAGGAACCCCTTAACTTGATCCTGACTCTCTACTGTCTTAGCTTAGCTGTTACTAATTGCTCTCACTTTCTTTCTAGATTCCCATTTTCAGTTCTCAAGTTTTGGTTCTCTTAGCACTCTTTGTTAACCTTTTGTTTCTTCAAAATGTACATGTTTTTCACTTCGTATTTCTTTTTAAGGTTCAGTCCTGGAATCCTTTTTTTCCCCTTTCTTAATCTTAAATTCTTTATTTGTTCTGATTTCTGTAATCGCTTGCACCTTGATGACTTCCCAGAATTTTCCTACTATCTTCAAAGAATCTCGGATGGGATAATCTACTTTGAATTCTGCTATCAAGTAATCTCTTAGGTGGTTAAAACATAGGTTTGAAACATCAGGGTCAGTTTTGATAATTCTTTCTTGTATCCTAACCCATTTAGAGTTGGTTGCTAACTAATAAATACGTTCAGTCTTTAATATTGGCAATTACTGGCCACTTTAAAAAAATAATCTGCTTTCTCCATCTTTATATGGAATGGAAGGGAAGGATGGCTTGCATTAATAACTCCAATTTTTTTAACATTTTCATTCCCTAGTTTTGTGATACTAACTGCAGAAGTTATTGTCTTCCTGACCCTGGGAGAGAAGAATTTCTCAGCAGGCTACTACTATACAGGACAAGGAAGAAAAAGATTGGACTGTCCTTTATAAATTTTCTAGATAAATTTCAATAAACATTTAAAATGGGGTATGTTACTATTGTTATGAATAGTTCAGAATTTTAATTTAGTTCATTACTTACATATTTGGTTATCTATTCCCATTTTACCTTTCTTTCTTCCTCTCCAGTTATCTACATGATCACTTTCTGTCATTGATCTCTGAGGTACAACAGTGACTCAGAGCAGTATTGCCTATTAACTTATCATCTGACCCGCCCAGTGCACTTTAATTCTGCTGGGGTCTTCCTTGTCCAGATTAATGTGCATCTCTCTGACTTGTAGCTATTACTGACATTTCCAAAAATAGGTAGAAAAATTCTGGGTGGTGTGTATGTGTTTTTGTTTGTTACAAGAGCTACTTTTCTTGTAACAAACAAAAACCAGCTCTAAAGAAGTTTACCTTTACACTCATACCTGCCATTATTATCCCATAAGAATACAGATTTTGATTATTTCTGCCTGGGAGGAACCAAGGAAAAATAATAATAAAAGCTAAAAGGACAAAATATGTTTTCTGTGCCAGGAAGTCATGTGTAGTTTTATTTTTTTTATTGTTACTTTTTAAATAATTTTTTATTTTTCAATTACAGTTGACAAAATATTAGTTTCAGGTGTACATCATAGAGATTAGACATTTATATAACTTACAAAGTGATTATCTCAGTAAATCTAGTACCCATCGGACACCCTACATAGTTAATAGAATATTATTGACTATATTCCCTGTGCTGTACTTGACATGCTCATGGCTGTTTTTATAACTGGCAGTTTGCACGTCTTACTCTCCTCCCCTTTTTTAATAAGTGGGATCTACATTGATCTGGTTTCCTTTGTCTCCAACTATGCATATTGTATTGTAAAATCATTTTACACCAAGAGATTGTATTTTGGAAATGTCTGAGAACTTGTGAGCAAATTGGAGATACTGAATTTCTCACAAATATTATTGGAGTCATCCTTGTAATTTGCTCCTGAAAGTAATTTAACTCTTAGCTTCTCTTCCTACCTCCGTAAACTTGCCCCCCTTCACCCCCAAGTCAGCTAAAGTCATATATATTTCTAACCCATTAGGGCAATAACAGTAGTAGCTATTCTTTTCTAGTACTTTTTATGGGCCAGGTGTCACTAAGTGCTTTATATACACTACCTCATTTATAAAACTGTAGTAAAGTAGTTATAGCATGTTGTTGTTAACAGATTTTTAAAAATGAGGCTAAAGTTAAGTTCTTTGCCCAAACTCATTCCACTGAAAAGTGAGGAGGAAGCTGGGATTTGAATCCAGCCTGTCAGACTCCAGTGCCCACGCATTTAATAACTGTGATTCCCACTTCAGGCAAATGAGTTAGGTGTGCAATGATTTTTATTAATAAACCAACTTTTTGACAGGCAGAGAATGTGCAAGTTGAATTATTTAAAAATTCTTCTTGTTCATGGGGTAGGAAGGTATATTCTTAAAGAACAGAATATTACCAGTTTCTTAAGAAGGAAAACTTACTAGAAATACAGATCTTTTGCCGCTTGCCTCAAGTAGTCCTCATTTGTGTTGAAAGTGCTATTTTTCTCAAATTCAGATAATTACAGAGAAGGTACTGGTACAACTCCTATAGGTGTAAGAAGACTGGCACGTTATGCTGATCAAGTTCTTTAAATGTGGAAGCGCTCATACTAGTTTTTATTGTACAAATAAATGAAGTTTTTTTTCCTAAATACATGTATTAGGGTTAGTGTATCACTGATTTTTCAGTAAATTTGGATTGATTCAGGTTTAGTCCCTTTGTTCCAATCATGTTAGCATTATATATTCTGAAATACAAGCTTGTCCGGAATCTCTAAATGTGACCCTTGCTGTGCCTTCGAATATGAATTTTTAATTTTTTACTTTGCATTGAGACTTTTCATACCAATCACATTGACTTTATATTTTGTTATGATCATAAGATTTCGTTATACAAAAAGATGTTTTAAAAACAATACTGTTTACCCAAAGACAATTAAAAATATATATATAAAAAAATATATATATATATCTCGTTATTGATTTCAGAGAGAGGAAGGGAGAGAGAGAACCGTCAATGATGAGAGAGTCATTGATCGGCTGCCTCCTGCACGCCCCCTGCTGGGGATGGAGCCCGCAACCCAGGCATGTGCCCTGACTGGGAATTTAACTGCAGTCTCTTAGATCATAGTTCGATGCTCAACTGCCAAGCCACACTGGCCAGGCCCAAAGGCAATTTTTGTTTATCAAAAGGGAGTTAGGAAAATAATCTTTAGTGCCTATATAGGTAAAAAACCATACTCTACAGTGCAACTAAATAGTAGTAAACTGTTGCACATACTATATACTTAATGCTCTGTTAAATGCATGAAAAGGCAGTACTGCTAACTGGTTGCATAGTAGTTGTTTGGGATCAAATCCTGGCTGCATTGCTTAATTAGCTGAGTGACTGGGCAGGTACTTGATGTCTGTTCCTCAGTTTTCTTACCTATCAAAGTGGGCCATTAGGAATTGAATGAGTTAACATAATTCCACAATTATTTCTCCCAATCCAAAGGCTCTAAAAACTAAATTTGTTTGTATATGTATGACTCAGTGGTACAAAACCTGATGTGAACTTAGAATATGAATAGTCATATTTTGTTGCAGAAACATGAATATGTTTAATTGTAGAATGTTAGCACAGATCATACTGAGGTTGTTACAAAATAGATGGTATATCTGTATTCTGAAATTTGAAATTCTGAGTTCAGAAACACATCTGGCTCCAAGGGTTTTGAAAGAGTTATGTACCTGTCTGCAAAGTGCAAAGACCAGTGCTTCGTGTTACAGATAGCATCAGCTCATTGCATATGCTTTCAGACTGAGAGGTTGAAATCTATAGAAAGCCTTTCTGTTATATAAGTTGAGTCCTTCAAGACTCAGCATTCTGCGTCTTGAGGAAGGTATGTCAGCTAGTTAAAAATCATTAGTATAGCCCAGCCAGGCGTGGTTCAGTGGTTGAGTGTCGACCTAGGATCCAGGCGATCTGGGTTCGATTTCCAGTCAGGGCACATGCCCGGGTTGTGGGCTCGATCAATGACTCATCATTGATGTTTCTATCTCTCTCTCTCCCTCTCCTTTCCTCTCTCTGAAATCAATAAAGATATAAAAAGAGTCGTTAGTATAGTTTTAAAAATTTATCCTTTGAAAGTATAAGAGTTCATAGAAAAGTTTTTACTTTCAATGAGTATTTTAATTTATGTAAGCAGAGCTTAAATATTAAAAGTATTTTCGGCCGTACCTTAAAAAGAATCATAAAGTGTTAATGGTGTCAAACTTCATGTAGAATGTTAAGGGACTTCCTTTCAGAAGTTCTCTGATTTTAATTCAAATCTCAAAACAGTGATACTATTAGGGTTTATAAAAACAAAGTGCAGAAACACACCCTTGAAAACCATGAGTTCTGTCCTTTTATTTCCATCAGTGTAAAGAAGCTGATAGATGTTTTTTGCAAGAGTTCATCAATCCTACCACCCTCCCTCCCACCCCCAAAATCTGTAGGGTACAAAGATAAGTATGTGTAGGCATCACTGTAGACTCAGGTTTGGGGTTCTCCCCCAATTACCACTTTTTGCTGGTCATTTGCACTCTAAACATTGACCTTGTCTGTGACATAATTGACTGCACATGAGCACTTTCATAAAGTTAGCTAGCTTAGGCTAGGGATATATATCTAGTGCCCATGAAATATGCTAAAAAATTAGATGCATTTCCTCGGCTTTACTATTACTTTGCTATTTATTAGTTACAAAATGATAATTTCTTCCATTTCTACCCTACCACTGAGGCAACTGTTTTATAGTGGAAAGGGTAGTGACGTGAATCTAAATCTTAAAAATTCCCAGTTCTGACATTTTAATAATGGTGTGTTTTGTGGACAAGTAACTTAACCCATCTAACCTTTTATCTATAACACTGGGAAAATTACATCTCAAGATTGTGAGGATTTGACTTGAGCCCTGACTCGAAGTATGTGACCAATAAATGTTACTTCAATATAAAGTCCTTCATTTCTTTTTTCTTCTCAGTCCTGTTGAGTAGTGGCATTCCTGAAAGGAGGGTAACAAGTCTGACTGGTGATAACTGCTATTCAGGGGCTTTCATAGTTCAGCCTCAAGAAAATTTTTTAGTCTTAACTGTCACTGCTTCAATGTATAACCTAAGCTCTAGCCTCACAACAATCTGCTAGGGGTCAGCAGACTTTCTCTGTAAAGGGCCACATAGGGAATATTTTAGGCTTTGTGGGCCACATACAATCTCTGTTGCATATTTTTCTTATTTTCAGTTTGCACACCTCTGTTTGAACATCCCGTGTATTTTCATTCATTCTATCCCAACTTGAGAAGCTCCAGTTTCCTACTGATGTGTCAAAACTGAAATTGTCCGCTCTAGGAAAGCTGTTTAATCTTGTGTTACTGTCAAGGCTGACTTTGTAACAATTAGATGGGTTATTTGCTAATGGTTGAAGCATTCATTAGGTCTTTTGATAGAGTTATAGCAATACCACAGTATCTCATGAGCATGTTGCAGAATCTGATCTATTCTCTCTTTGCCGTGTCACTACAGTTGACTCATTTCTTCCCTCATGAGCTTCTTAGATGTGGAGGGGTGGGGAGGGTGGAGCAGTGGCTGGCTGGCAGTGGGCCTCAGAATTTGGTTGATAGATTGACAGATACATGAATTTGCTTGCAGTGGTAAGGCTGCACAGAATGTCCTTACTGCGTTTGTTCTTTAAATGTCTACAGTAGAATGTCTGTACTCTTCCGAAATCCCCATTCCATGCCCACTACAGGAATTCTTTGCCACTCCAGCTGTGATGTTCAGTCCTTGTTTATGCCTTTATTATAGCACCTTGCAGTTTCAGTGATTTTAGGGTTATTAGAAATGGTGTCTGTTTTACCCTGTGTGTCCTGCTCAGTTACAATGTTATTTACTTAGCTTTGGATGTTTAATACAAACACAGTGCCTTTCACATAGTAGATACTC